GAACATCTTTTCAGTACAACACTCAAGCAACAACACAAACAACAAGAACATTCCACAACAAACAACAAAATTGACAAAAACATTAAATATCGTAAACATTAAGGTTTGTACAATGTAAAAGGAACAGCAACACCAAATAAAAATAAAAAAAAACTATTAACAAAAACAACAACTTAAAAAAACAACAATAACACCACCAACAATAATTTAACGTTGACAACAATTAACATGACAAAACAACAGTAACGACAACACCGTTAAGCAAAACATGATAACTTAGTACTTTACTGAATAACAAATTAGGAATATTTACTGTCTGAACTCTAAATTGTTTTTCAGAAAAACTATCGCTTACAGAGCAGGAACTTCGCCAAATCTGAGAGACTTTGGGAGTACGGTGTTATACCGTACGAAATTGACTCCAAAATCAGTGAGTATCGTATGGAAACTGGCCTGACTTCAATGGACATATTCTATGTGAATTGCCCTTACATATAATTCCTCTTTTGATTCATACTATTGACATTATGATCTGTTATAATGAAAACTTTCGTTCGTAGCCCAACCTGATCTGATAGCAACCATTAAAGCTGGAATTGAGCAGATGAACACGTACACCTGCTTACGTATCCTGCCTCGTTCTGAGACAACCAATCTAAATCTGCCTCACAATCAGTACATTGTTTTCCAGCCAGACTCGTGAGTTTTATACTGTAGATTTGATATATGGAGAATTAGAATTATTCTGTGGTATGTCTTGTAACCGAGAAGACTAATATCTGACAAAAATATCAGTTAATGATCTCTTTATTTAGTCAATTTTAGAGGTGTTTTAATTTTTTTTTTTCACAAATTATAAAGATACCTATAATCTTTTGTAATGGGTAACATCCTGATTTGGATACCCGAGTTGGACTGTATTGGCGACCTTTACCTGAATTGAAGATTATCAACCTGCAATTTAAATGTTATCTTTTTTGTAAGAAGAAATAGTAAATTACATAAAATATGGCGGCCCGCATTCGAATGAACTTGTACGAGGATTGTACCATTTTAAAAATCCAAAATAGTAAATTGTCTGCTTAATTATTCGTTGTAGGATCTGTATTTCTTTTCTTGGGAGGTATGAGTACCTAAGTACTGACGCCCAGCCGATTGGTCTAAGCTACCCGCTATGTAATCAGGTAAGATACTATTTGCTGGTTCCCACTATATCTGAACATTGCAGCATGAAAAGGAACTAAAATGGCCTTGTTGTGCCCATGTTTTGTAAACCGTCATTTTGTAAATACTTGTTGTCTTAAGCTAGATAAAAATAAGAGACATAAAATTAGAGATACATAGCGTAAATCTTAATACTTAGAATTCGTCTAATAATGAAAAACGAAATAACACAATTTTAACAGATAACCATATATATAGGTACTTTATATAGCATATTACACAGACCGAAAGTTCCATATGTAACTTTCTGCATGCAAGCAGTTGTAAATCATAATTTAGATACGGTATTTTTTTTAAAGTTCGTCACTAACCCCTATTTTAGGTGCAGACGATACTGCACGAGCTTATGCACGCAGCTGGCATGCACCACGAGCAGTCACGTGACGACAGAGATCACTACATAACAGTAAATTACAACAATGTGGTGGGTGGTACTAGTAACAAAAACATGAATATTCATCCCACGTACGACAGATACCCATATGACGCTGAGTCCGTGTTACAATATGGACTGTATGTAAGTGATCAACACATTAATCCAACAGCAGTTGTGAGCACAATTTCATCTGGAATACATAGGGGTTTCTTATATGGCTTATTTCGTTATTTAAACAATAAAATGTTTTCTTCGTTTGTTAGTAAAGTGATTAACTGTGCTGAATTAAAGGGACAGTAAAAATCCTGAATAGTTCCTGTATTATATTTCACTGCGTTGATTTATATTATATAAATATTGCATGTAGTTGAGTGTAACATTGTAAATTTTCACCCCAAGAAAACCATTGTAAACCTAGGCGCAGGTTGACAAGGTGAAAATTTTTCAATTTTACACTCAACTGCATGCAATATTAATTATATTATACCGAATGTTTTATACATATTATAGTGAACCTTAAATTCTGTGCAGTCAATATTTTTTGGAATATCACCCGTCGTCAAGCAATGTTGACTGTTGCTACGCTGGAGGGCGTGGCTTCATTATTTAGCGAGTAATGGTGTTTTTTAACAAATGTTTCTCGACGAATCAGATTCAACTAATTTACATGAAAGTATAATATTTATAAATACATTTTAGTACATGTAATAGTAGATCTGATGTCTCGAGTGCATGTGCAAAGAAACCCTTTAGCAAAAATGATTTTAGGTTCACAGCGCAATGTTTTAGCTGTCGCTTTTTTTAAAAGATTTTTTTTTAATCAGGACCAGGCTTTGAACAGTAATCAGAAAACCATGGAATTTAAAGACAAACTACTAGAGTTTCTTCCCGCCATGACTCGAAACCTGTCCTTCTATGACGTGGCTGAAATAACGAAGGCTTACAAGTGCACAGGTGCTCGAAAATACTTATCTGCCTAAAGTGTGCAATATGTTCATTATGATGTAAGGCGTATTCTTTCATATTTGTTTAGCAAGATAAACGGGGAAATTCCGAATCCATCTCCAAATTAGGATGTATAATCGATTAAATATTGAAATAGTGATTAACTATAAATTGCCTTGACGTCACGTGAAAGATTTCACCCTCGAATATTATTAGCCTTTTCAAGTAGCTAATGTACTTCCTTTATTTAAAAAAGGTGACCCATCATTATTATCAAATTATAGACCTGTATCATTATTAAGCTGCGTAGGTAAAATTATATAGCGAGTCATTTTTAAATATGTTTATAATTATTTTCATTCAAACAATCTTTTTTATAAATATCAGGCTGGTTTTTTACCAGGTCATTCAACTGTTTATCAGCTTATTGAGACATACGATTACATAGCTTAAGCTATAGATGAAGGAAAACACTGTTGTATGGTTTTTCTGTGATTTGTCTAAGGCATTTGATCGGGTATGGGTCTTCTATTTAAGTTACAAACTTATGGTGTTAGTGATAAATTATTGCTATGGTTTCAAAGTTATTTAGTTTTAAGGACACAAAGGGTATTGCATAGGAATACTATGTCTAAATTTAAACCTTTACATGCTGGAGTCCCTCAGGGGTCTGTATTGGGACCACTTTTATTTTTGATATATGTCAATGATGTTGCTGAAAATATGTCGAGTTTAAGCAGGTTGTATACTGATGATAATTCTTTACAGAACTGTTCTGAAAATATACATGATATTCAAGTAGGATTGAATTATGATTTAAATCAACTTTAACAGTGGTCTAAACAGTGCCTATTGAAATTTAATCCTTCGAAAACCAAAGCTATCTTTTTTAGTACTAAGAAAAATGTCGATCTACCAAGGCTTAAATTTCAGGACTGTTATTTATAGATGTTGTATCATCACACAACCACTTAGGTATTCTCTTTTCACACGACCTTACATGGTCAACGTACATTGATTCTATCGTTGCCAATGCATATAAAAAATTAGGTCTCCTTAAAAAATTGCAGTTCAGGGTAAGTGCTAAAACTTTATCTCTTATATACTACTTTTATAAGACCTCAGTTAGAATACGCAACTGAAGTTTGGTGTGGGTGTTCTAGTCAAGATTCCGAAAAACTAGAAAAATTAAAGTTAGCAGCAGCAAGAATAGTCACTGGATTAACTTCTTTGGCATCGCGAGATTCTCTCTATTTTGAAACTGGATGGGAACCACTTGCTATTAGAAGAATGTCCAAAGTAAGAACAACTATGTACAAAATTTTTCATAATATGGTACCCGAGTATCTGAAAGAAATATTTCCAAACATTCGATCACACGAATCAAATTATGTAACAAGACAATCACAAAATTATTGCATCCCGAAGTGTAGATTAAACATTTATAAATCATCTTTTGTCCCAATGGCAATACGGGAATGGAACTCTTTACCTCTTAAAACAAGACAATCCACTACTATAGGTTCCTTCAAAAACTGTATAAACTCTCAAAAAACACCTACTCCTGCCTTTTTTCTTTTGGTGTTCGTTACTGGAATGTAATTCATACTAGATTAAGACACAATTGTGTTCTCAATATAGATTTATTTAGGTGTAACATCATTGACAGTCCATTATGCACTTGTGGAAAAACAGAAGACGCATATCATTACTTTTTTTCTTGTGCGAAATGCATTGTCCCAAGAAACGATTTGTTTAATGCTATTTTTAGAATGATTAATTTACGTATTGTAGACACTCACGTACTTTTATGGGGAGATGATTCGATTAGCATTTCTGAAAATGAAAGTTTATTTTTAAATGTGCAATTGTTTATTAAGAGATCTGGTCGTTTTTGAATTTATATATTTAGATTCATTTGTACATACTACATCAAATCAATTTTGTACATGCATATCCTATGTAAGATAATCATATTGACCTTTGGTTCCAGTGTAGTTTAATTTTTTAACATTATTTTGTGTAATTAATTGTTATAAAGGAGAGGACGTTCTAAGTTTTAAGAACTTGTGTCCGATCCTTTTGTTTTAATATCTAAACAATAAAATATGTTCAAATCAAAGCCTTTTCAAAGTGGCAACATGTCTGACAAATATCAAAGCTTTTTACCAAATCAATAAAAATTTTACTGTCTACAAATATCTTTAAAGGTTGTTTTATATTCTGTTTGTGCAGACCACTGCCCTTCCTTGCCTACGTGTGAAAATGGCGGATTTGTCCACAAGGGGTGTGAGTGCTTGTGTCCTAAAGGTTTGAAGGGGGAACGATGTCAGGAGATCGACACCGATTCTGGTGAGTGGTCCATAGAGTAAGGTATAGCAAAGTGCATAAATGTTAGTATCTCCGTAAACGGTCATTTCCAAATCAAAATCGTTTTGTAAAGGAGGACTAGGTATTTTCGCAAACTTTACATTTAATTAACTATTTCCTATTGTTTATTTTATATATTCGTCATCAAACAGTACTGTGATATTTTAGGCTGCGGTGGTATCATCTCATTAGGCGCTGGAGAAAACCGGGAAATCACCTCCCCCAATTTCCCTAATAACTACAACGCAGGCGCTAAATGTACCTGGTTAATAAAGGTAAAAAAAATTATATAACTTAAACTTTCCATTGAATTAAAATGAAATTTATAATCGTTGAAGAGAATTTGTGATGAAAAAAAAATCAAATTGCGCGATTTTTTTAGGCAGTGTTATGTGCAATTCAATTTCTTTTAGATCTAGTCCGTTAATTTTTATTGGACAGATTTGCACTTGTATCTGCCAAGAGTTGTTTAGCTTTGCTTTACAATACTTGTTTTAAAAGGGTCCAGAAGACAAGCAGTTAAAGATGACTATCCTTGAGTGGCACGTGGCCTTCAATAGATGGCGGCGGGTTTGTTATCACTGGGTGGAGATCAGATACAATCTGATTGGTCAAACCGGGATCAGGTGACTATTATAAAAAAAAAACCCATAAATAATCAAATAATAATTAAATAATACATAATAAATGTGTCTCTTTGGAATATTTAAAGTACAAAATCATTTATAAATCAAATTATTTTCAGAGAATGTGGCTATCATCGACCAGGAAGTGGCGTTTTTGTTAATACGTCGTCAGATGCCAAAGGCAAACTGTTGCTGTTGTTTGACAGTGCTTTTAATGCTAATGTACCTCCAACAAAAGGGTTCAAAGTAAAAGTAGAAGTGCTGTAATTAAAGCACAATCTCACAATGAAAGTATGTTAAATTGAAATAAAAATCAATTGTTGCCAGTTGAGATTTTCTTTAAATTCCAATTTAATCATGCAGTGAAGAAAAAAACCCAAATGCACATGTACTTGCTATTGATCTGCAGAATGCTTGACTGCAAATGGTCAATGTACACGTAATATTTACCTTTTTTTTTTTACTGAATATGAAAGTGCAAAAAAAAAAAACCCCTAAAAAACAAAAGAATAGGTATACATCTATTTTACGAGACTTTTATGCTACATGCACAGTACATCCTTTCAAATTTGTATCAAACTGGAAAATCCATTGTTATCTCCATTACCGGTATATACATGAATACCTGTTTATCATCGTTTTGTTTCACATTCTGATTTAAAAAAAAACCGAAAATCTTTATCATTGACATTGTTTATTGTGTATACATATTTTTTTAGGAAAAAAAAAAAAAAAAAACGAAAACAAAACTAAACTAAAAATTGTGGTAAAAAAAAAATTGTGACCCTAAAACAGAACCAAAAAAAAGATAAAGAATTAAAATACATCAAAGCGGGAAGCCAATACACAAATGGATTAAAATTAAATGTATGCAATCATTATTTTCAAAAGAGGTTCAAGGTGTAAAAAAAGAAAAAAGAAAGAAAAAATGTTACGAAATGTTTCATAACAATTCAATTTTAAATACACCTTTTACAATATTTTCTGCATACGAGAAAAAAAAATATCACATTCTGTAATTTGACATGTAAAGTCTTTTTTTAGACATGTGGTGAAAGAAGCACCAAGAGAGAATTTGTGGAGAGAGAGAAAAATTATATTTATGAACTCATGACACAATATTTACATTTATATACACAGTATGTACAACTTTATTTAAAATATAGTTCATATTGTAAAAAAATGTTGATAAAATTTATACCATTCTTCCTGTACGTGAGATAATATCACAATGTCTGCTCTACCAGGATAAATTCATATCAATAAAGTAATAAATATCAATAGAAAGTAAGTAATGACATATGGCAAAGTAAAAAAAGTCATGAATTGTGGAGGACAGAAAGTTCTGATTCTAAGGGAGATAAATCAGGAATTAAAAATATCCATTGGTGATGCAACATCAGTGTCGACAATAAAGTACAGGCAAGAATACAGAAAATATATGTAGGACAGGTCAGATAAAATCCTCAATGTAGCTTCCAGCCAATTCTTTGTGACAATTTTGGAATCACAGCAGTCTGTTCACTAAAACAAGTTAATTTGATATAATGTCTGTGTTGGTGGTATCTATAATGTGAAGTGCAGATAATTCAAACTCGAGTAGCACCATTGGGTTTGCTTCTCCTACAAGAAAAAAGTTATAAGTAAAAAAAATTATCTACATTGGACGAATCATAGTTAACATACACACTTTCAGCCTGCACACACTGCATCAGAAATTGTCCCAAATAATGGCCAGGTCTATAATTTGAAGGGGACGATATCCCTTTTGTTCACCTCATACCCACAGCATTTGGTGCCTTATCACAAATGTTATGACAGGATCTTTTTTCTTTTTTTTTTTAAAAAGTTCAAGCATCAGTATCACAAAAACATAATACCTGGTATATAAATAAACTGCACCCCACGAAAAACAGGTCTTTAGAAATTACTTTAGTGCCCTTAACATACCAGCCTGAACATGGTTTGATTAGTCTAAGTCACATTGCAAGATATGATTCGCACATGATCAACTCTACATTGCTACAGAATTTCAAAATAGGATCACATTGATCTACTATTAAGCTGGCAACACACTTTATTTTCAATATGCATCAAAAGACAATGTTTGATGATTCTAGGTTCAATATGCAGAAACAACATACGAAATTTGAACATTATAAAAAAAATGATGGTAATTGTGATTAAGGAATAATATCAAAATATGTGGATATTAACAAGCAAAGTGGTTAGGTAACTGCAATTCATAAAGAGCCTTTGAAATAATATACTGTGAAATCACGAATTTTTGTGGGGGGGTTTTCATTGTTTTGCGAGGTATGGAGAGACCCACGAATTCATGTCAACCACAAAATGTGAAATGTCATATACAAAACTGCTCAAAATTCACCATCCACGAAATCTAATCCCCATGAACCCATAGTTTTTCCTCAGACCACAAAAATTTGACCCCATGAAAATACACGTATGTGATTTTACAGTACTCAATTTACACAAGTCATGATGTATCTTATAAACTCCATTCCTGAGTAATAAGATTTGAGTTCTCTTTATAATAACCCTGACCTAGCTATGTTCCACCTGTCTAACACTTACTTCATAGCATTGCCGTGTCCCTCAATGGCTATATTACACCTGTCCTCTACATCTGTCCAGTCCCCCTCGTAATCCTGGGGTTGGGGACACGAGCTCCGCCTCTTCCTGCTGCCGGGGGAAGTCTGTTTTAGCGTCTCCACATCATTAAACACCACAGCAGTTCCTCCACCAGCCGTGGGGAGACAGTCACCCTGTAACAAAGACAGAGGTCAATAATTACATGTACACATGTTGTGCACCTCATTCAGAATTTTCCCTCCCAACTTAACTGAAATTTGGTATATTCAAATCAACACTTTTAAAAAAGTTTTTTCCTCTTGTTAAAGTAAAAAGTTAAACACTGTATATACAGTATACACTAAAACACGCTTACAGCTAACATGCTTTTAATGAATTGACGCTTACAGTAAAGTGATTTTCATTCCCCATGGCTTTAGAATATATTGTTAACTGAACAGATAAAACAAATTAGGTTTATAGCGAAGCAAAATCTTCTGTCCCTAGCACTTCGTTATAAGCGTGTTTTACTGTATTTATCAAAGCGAAAGGAAGGACAATCTATTGGGGATAAAATCAAATCTGGGGAGGATTTCTATCATTCCTAGCTCAGTCCAACATGATAAATCTTCCTCCTCCACTTTACCTACAATATCTACATGTACTCGTGTTACACGGTTTTTGTAGTGATGTGTGGTGCCCCTTACCTTTTATATCTGTAGTGAGCTTGTGGCCCTACCGTGTATATCTGTAGTGATGTGTGGTGCCCCCTACCTTGTATATCTGTAGTGAGATTGTGGTCCCTACCTTGTATATATGTAGTGAGCTTGTGGCCCCTACCTTGTACATCTGAGTAGTAAGACTGTGGCCCCTACCTTGTATATCTGGGTGGTTAGATTGTGGCTCTTACCTTGTACACCTTAGTGAGATTGTGGCCCCTACTTTGTACATCTGGGTAATAAGATCGTGGACCTTAAGTTGTATATCTGGGTGGTTAGATTGTGGCCCCTAGCTTGTATATCTGGGTGGTTAGATTGTGGGTGGTTAGATTGTGGCCCCTAGCTTGTATATCTGGGTGGTTAGATTGTGGGTGGTTAGATTGTGGGTGGTTAGATTGTGGCCCCTAGCTTGTATATCTGGGTGGTTAGATTGTGGGTGGTTAGATTGTGGCCCCTAGCTTGTATATCTGGGTGGTTAGATTGTGGGTGGTTAGATTGTGGCGCCTAGCTTGTATATCTGGGTGGTTAGATTGTGGGTGGTTAGATTGTGGCCCTTACCTTGTATATCTGTACTGAGATGGTGGCCCCTACCTTGTATATCTGGGTGCTTAGATTGTGGGCCCCTACCTTGTATATCTGAGTGGTCAGGTTGTCCTCTGAGTCCATGTCTTGGTGAGTTAACATATACTTGGACACTTCTTTTGTATCTTTCACCTCAAGTTTGGACACAGATTTTTTCTTCTTCATCTTTGGCTGAAGCACCGTATCTGCAAACAAATAGACTTAATGAATAATTCTCTACATCAAATTTTGTACAGAGTTACACTCACCATAAAAATGGATTAATATAGAAAAAAAATATTCTTAAAAGTAATGTTTTGCATATGAAATTGAAAATTAGATTATCTCATTATGTCTTATGAAGTTAATAATTAATGCACCGACAGTGTGCTAAGTTTTCATTACAAATAAAAGTAAACATGATACATGTATCAATTACATTTATGTGCCGTTATCTAAAAATAAATAATACAAGCCAAAAATAAATAAATAAACAAACAAATAAATAAATAACATTCTACAGAACATGTATTTCTTTTTCAAAATTCATTTTTCTTTTGTTAAGATTTCTAAAGAACAAAAGAAAACATTAAACTCTTCTGATTCATGATATTTTTAAATTGCAAGAAAATATATGAAAAGCGCTTGAAAGATGACTCTTGGATAAATACATACAAGTATAATGTATACACTTCAAAATGCAAAGTACAATACAACAGTTTAATATTTAAAAGCAAATACATGTAATGTATGCAACTCACCGATTACTGCAGAAGGAAAAAGAGTTAAGATAGGTCATTAAATAGGTAGACATTTTAGTGCATACAGGATAATGAATAGAAATAAACGCAGTAAATTTCATCATACTGTACAGACAAGCAGACAATTTGAGTATGTTGTGTTAATTCTTTACGACAACCAACCTAGCTCCACACTTCCTGGGGGGCGGTGGTCCAACCAGATCTCAGCATTAGATGACCTTGACCTTCTATGTCGTGGGTTGAAGGGTGGGGTCTGAAAAATAAGAGGAATGTAGTTTAACAAGATGCATAGGTAGTTTATGATTAGCAGGCAGTATCAAAATTTTCAGTTGTTTACTGCCCAAACTGGCAATTTCTCAAATTCTTTGAGCCAGCATTTCTTGATACAGAATGCACCAGTCAAAGCATTTGCTATCATATACATTACTTCCTTCATAGTGGTTTTGAAATACAAGGTTTCATACAGTCTTTAAATCAGTAACAAGAGCAACACGATTACATGGCAAAATACCCTATATGTATGAGCTCAGACAACTATATATTACCATATCATAATATATATGCCAGTGTTAATAGATTGACAAATATCACTTTACATGTATGAAGTAGTTCACCATATCATAATCAATCATTTCAATAGTTCTAATTTTTTAGTAAATCTGAAGGATTTTGACAGATGAATTAAAATAAAAATCAAGTATAATAAATCATTAACTTTAAATTTAAATAAATTTCCAACATGCAACCTATTTTATTAATTTATTCATTTTAATTATTCAGCAAATGATATGAATTGTCTTTATCACTAAACTGACTCACTATAATCAGATCTTTCTGCACCAAGATGGAAAATTATAACCTTTTGGGATAAAATAATACGCTCTTTTGATTTCTTTGATGTTCATAAAAATTATTTAAAGTTCAAATTTCTTTTCAACTACATTACACTCGCTGAAGACCTAAAGGAAATATGAAGAAGATTGCATAATGTGATCACAGCTGTCCTATATCTGTAGGCATTATTAACATATCTTTACAATGCTTAAAATAACATGGAAGCAGTCTTAAATAGAACTTTTTGCATGTTATTTTTAGCATTCCTTTGGCATCAGTGTTCTTTTTTTGAAATTATAGATTCCTTGAAAAACAAGTATCTTTTGAATTCAATGTCTAAGTCACATCAGATGGCCATAGCCCATTTTTCACTGTCTTGTTAATTTGTAGCTATTGTCTCTCTATGATCACGAAAAGTCGTGTTCAGCAAAATTCCTTTCTTTATGTTGCTATAACAATATCAGCATATTGATGAACTCAGCATACATTGTACAGAACACAACAAAAGTTTAAACTGTATGTATAAATGCTTTGTATTACTGTACTTATAAGATACTAACTGGCTTGGGAGTTTTGGAGGTAGATTTTGTGGTGGGTCTAAGATTTGCCCGGGCGGCACTCAGTGTGGCTCCAGTGGTGACTGTCCTGGCACGAGGAGTGGGGGTGGTCCCTATTTTTCTCATGTCATTCTCTGATCGAGCAGACAACATTTTTGCAGGGGTGGTTTGGGTCCTGGACTTAGGTGCAGGTGTCCTAAAAGTTTCCCTTGGAGCTGGCATGGGAGTACTTGCATCACTGTCTGTCTCATTTACAATATTCCTCAGCATGTTCAACTTTTGTTGTCTCTCCCAGATTTGGCCCCCATAGTCTTGTTCAATTTTCTGTCTTTCTTTTTCCTTAAAAAAGTGACATTAACTCAACTTATCAGAAAATTCAACGAAGAACGCAAGAAGCACTGTAAGATTATTCTGAGGAGTACAGTGTTTACAAACTATTGGAATCAATGATACTGACTAGATTTCTTTCCCAGTGTTGGTTGTTCATGTCCAGTCGAGCTTTGAAGTCATTCTTTAGTCTTTCCTTCTCCGATTTCTCCTGACGGATCTTCACCTCTTTATCTTGAATCTGAAACAAATTCTCTTAATTTCATTTAATCAGAAATATTTCAAACGATCCAAACTATCAGGACTGAAAATTGCTAATTTTTTCTTAAGAATTTACAAGTAACTCTTGATAGCTCGAACTTCGATCTCTGGAAGTTCTTGACCCCTCAAAGTGAGTCTCCGGTCCCTAATTTTTCCCTTACATAACTAAGCAAATTTACTCTTGATTTCTCAAACTTTTGATCCCTGCAAACCCTTGATCCCTCGAAGTCAAAATGCAGTCCCCCTATGCATATTCTATTAGAATTTACCCTTGATACCTCGAAGTGGCTATGTGTATACAAGGTTATATAATCAGCACCTTTACCTGGACATTTAAATGCCTCAGGCAGAAGACGCGGGTCTGGAGGAACGGGATGTTTATTCAGGTGACACTTATGCTTCAAGGTGATAATTGACGTATAATTAATCATATTTTGCCTATATGCTATTAAAACAATTATCATCGACTGTCACAGGATAATTTAGAGATGCAGTGTCAGTCAAAAGTAGTAACTGATTAAAAGACGAAACACTAATTTAATTTTTATTTTGAGTCAGTGTCAAAGTTAAACGAAATATGAAAAAGCAGAAACAGCCTCAAATTGTCAATATGACAACTATTATTGGACAAATACATACAGAACTACGTTCAATGATCATGTTTGGAATAGTCAATGCTATTTACGATGCTGTAAAATGTCGTTTTCATGTAACGAATGCGTAGTATGATGTCCCTATTACAAAGAATAAATAAATATACATAAAATGACGATATATATTTTTTGATTTACTCACTTTAATGAAATATTCATCTAAATTACGAAAAAATATCGTTGTTTTATGAAAACCACGTGTAAAAAAGGTTAGCACTGCATGAAAATCATTACATCCGGTAAGACTAATTTTGAAATCTGTCAACAAACCCGGAAAATTCCGGACTCTTGAAAACTTGAACTCTTGATCTCTCGAAGTTTTTCCTCGGTCCTGCAGACTTCGAGGTATCAAGAGTTACCTGTAATTCTATAGAAAAAAAATACACAGCATTTAATGTGCATGAATTTAAAATGCATGTACACATAACATTCTTTAATAACAGATATTCCAAAATCCTAAAATCCTGGATATTTCTGGAAGATATTCTTCCATTATAAAATTAAGGTTGGACTTTAAAATCTGTTAACCCTTACCATGGCCTCCAGTTCCCTCTTCTGTCGTTCTGACTCTTTGGTCTGTCGTGTGTTTTCTCCCAGGCGTCGTTCTAGGGATCTGATCCGGGATTCCAGTTTCTGGACATAAGATTCAGATTTTTCCACCCTTTGTTGGAGGTCCTCATTCTGGATCATGGCCTGGTCATAGTTCCTCTCAAACTCCACAAGGTGAGCTCGGAACTCATCATCTATAATTTCAACACATTTCTTATAATGACTTGTATTCAATACCGTCTGAACTGCAAACTCTGTAGCAGTAATCTTAATTAAAAACATGTTTTACATACAGTACATGAGCTTGAGTAGATATATAATGCTAACAATACCCCCATCAGAATTTTAAAGGATCCAATCAACATGAATTTATTCAACTTAAATGATTGTTATCTTTACATATTTCTTTAAATCTTTCGTTTGTCCTCTACATGGAAACTTCTTTCTGAATTAGGCCAAGATAAACAAGCATTCTGAGAGTATTGCATTAGCAATACTAGTCCCCTACCGGCAAGTGTAATCTGGTTCCCGTTAAAAATTGAAAATGCCATAATTCCGTCAAAAATTAATGAAGCGGGACGAAATGCAAACTTGATCTATAACTAATCAAGGTAAAGTCACACACCAAAAATCAGCTCAATATCTGAAAGCGTTTAGAAGAAAATTGCGGAAAACCCTTGAAAATTGAAAAGGCCGTAATTCGGTCAAAAATCAATGAAGCGGAACGAAATGCAAACTTGATCTGTAAATCATCAAGATACACTTACATACCAAAAATCAGCTCAATATCTGCAAGCGTTTAGGAGAAAAGTGCGGAAAACCAAGTGGGACAGACTGACAGACAGACAGAGGGACAGACGGACAGACAGACAGACGGACGGACAGACTCAGAGGAAACCTATAGTCCCCTTCGGTTTCACCGGTAGGGGACTAATAATGTGTTTCCTATTCCAACCTGAAAAAAAATTGGGTACGTAGGTATGGAAAACATTTTATTTTATTTTAACATTTTATTGGCAAGCACACTACCATTTTTCCCTGGGGAAATCGCTGTCAAAACATTTCTGATTAATGTGTATAGGATATGCATTTTCTGAAACACAGAAGTGATCGAGATTAGGATTTCTAATAGTGAAACTGGAATAGTTTACTCCTGGAAAGATACCTGCGGATAAATTTTTTAGGGTCAGCTCATATATTTTAGGGTTGGTCGGGGAACCGGAAACCCACAATTTATCTAGGCCTTAAACTTCTGAGAAATCTATATAAAATTTCTGAGGACTGACTTTGTTTGTCTAGCTCCAGCTGTAGAACTTTTCTCCGTCTTTGGCGTTCCTCCAAAAACTTCTCCAGCTCAGCCAGGATGATGTTATCAGTGGACCGCAGCAACTATAAACAAAAACCTTATTGAAGAAAGTTTTCCTTGCCAGAAAGTTAATATTTTCATAAAAATTACTATAAAATTGTCAGGCCAGCAGAAAAGAAAGTGTTGTATGTGTGGTTGGATTAGAAAACTGTACACTTATGTGATGTTAACTATTATAATGTTTTACTGTGTCTTAGTTAGGGCTGTCACGGTTCCAAAATTTTTCGGGTCGGGTCTGTAAATTTTCGGTTCGGTTTCATCTATTTTAAGCCTTAAATTCATGAATTTAATGTGATAAATCTTTATTTTTTACGTTACATTCACCTTGAAAACAAATCTCTACCATGTTAACATTTTGACATTGGTGTTCAGGACTACTAGGCCGACTATAACCTACAACCTGATCATTCTTGCTCATTTTGATAATTATCTAATCCTTTCTAGACAAGTGTTTTGTCATAGAATGAAGTAGAATTCAGCTTTGATGTTAATTTATCACTTTTACCGCCATCATTCTTTTTGAAATTGATGCCATTTTTTGTATAAAACAGATTCTAATATATAAACCAGACCCGAACCGAAATCCGGAAAAATGGAACCGAAACCGAACCGAACATCTTGGACCGCGGTTTTTGGTTATTTCGGGGATCAGAAGCCCTAGTCTTAGTTAATGTACTTACAAGTAAATGTCAATTTTTACATTTATAATTCATACATATACCATACATGAAATATGTTTCCTATACAGTGTATTTGTATATCATTGACAATTTGACATAAAGAAATTAATTTCTAATACAAATAATTTTTAAGAATGTAAAATGTATATACAAGCTCACTTCAAAAGGAGGGAATCCAGGTCCCAGGGTAAAGTCAAAGGCAGGCAGTTTGGCAGGTGTACACAAATCCTCCTCTGAAAATACCAAGCATTTCATTCAGTATGTTCAGTTAGATCAAAAATAACTGTGTAAACTGTTTGTCATAAGAAACTTTTCACTTTATACTGTATGTGTATATAAAGTAACACATTCAAAATTAAGTGCCATGACTTGGTATGGAGTGGTTGGCATAACCATGACTTAGTGCTACAGATGTCACCATGCATTGTAATCAGTTAAGATTTATAAACCATATTCATGAATTAGCGCATCGTCTGCACCAAATTCCCTTAATTACAAAGCCCGCTTTTTTAAGTGCGCATACAGTATACTTTTCTATCCTCTTTATTACGGGGGAAATGGTTATCACTCTCGTCTTTAGCACATTAAGGAGAACAAAATATGTGAAGTTATATTTTACTATTCATTTGAATTGAGACCTGGTTTAAACTTGTCTTTATAGTTCTGGTTGATCTTCCGTCTCCCTGGCGTTAATCCAATGTCAAATCTCACTTGTTGTTGCCGAGCAATAAGCACTTCCTGTGATAACTCCGCAAATTTCATCACATGCTGAAAATAAAAAGTCCTCCAAACTTATAGTTTTAAAAATAAATACTAATAAAATTAGAAATATCTTGTACATACTAGTACATGTATATATTATCAATTCTGTAAGGTCAAGGCAAAAATGATTAAAACATAGGGGAAGAAATAAAGCATTGAACTGAAAATGACTTTTTTGTCATCATGGATATTACAGACCTGTTTACCCATATTGTAGTCTCTCAGTATTTTTTATTAGATTTGTCCGTGAGATTTGACATTTGCCAGTAAGATTTCACTTTCCACCAATTTTACATACATTGCTAGAGAACAACTACATTTCTGATTACCATTTCTGTCATTTTTTTTTTAAATCACCATGCTTTGGCAATCCAACATCACTGAAGTGTTTGAAATATTTGTCTTTTTAGCGATTAAAAAGCGTCAAACTCAGACAGATCATAACGAAAACTAACTGATAAAATCCAAACGAACAGATTTCCGATTTCCGTATTTTCATAAAAGCAAAACGTGAGACGTATTTTGGACTCAAAATCCGTACAAAATACGGTGAAATCGTAAGAGTAAACAGGTCTGATATTACTAGAATTTCCCCCGTTCTTCTTTAGAGGCTCTGATTTTGATATCAGAGGTGTAGTGTAACAAATAAATTTCTTACTATTGTTTCGTCAAATTCGTCTCCTTTAGGATTAACACAGACAACCATTCTGACTTTCCCTTCTCCATCAAAATAATTCTTAAACAGATGTGTCAGCTTAGAATCTCTGTACGGAACCATCTACAATACATATCATAATCAATTAGTCAACACTCAAAACCTTAACACTGATTACAAAAATAATTGCAATCTAAAATATTGCATGTCCTGATCCTTCACTTTTGTTGAGCCTCTGTATTAATATAGGTTTAAAAAACACCAGATTTTACAACTAGACTGGTCAGACTGGTTTCCAATCTTGATCTAAGTCATCTGACGTGCCTTTAATGTTAATTAACTCTATTAATTTATCTTCTTCTCAACAATGGAAACACAATTTTTCAGAAAGAAGAAATTCCACAAATACCTTGTTGGAGTTGTTTTTCTGGTTCTCACGGAGAATCTCTATACAATTTCTCAAGGCCATCAGAGACTGGTTGATATTTCCTGCAAACACCATATCATACATATAAGAGAGTCAGATTATCAAAGGAATTTACTTTACTTTAAATATATGTATAAAAGCAACAAAATTTAATTTTCATTGTAGGGGCAATTCAATCAAATACACAAATGAGGTACCTTGCAAGGAAAGACAACTCTTGCATTTCAAAATATTTTCAAGGAATATAAAAAATTTATTTCAATGGATTTCTCTACAGTTTTAAATGAAATGGAATGGTGAAGCTGCAGGTGGTTAATCATAAGCAATCAAAGAAGAAAATCCTGGAGGAACAATGCACTGACCTGCTTCTTTCAGTCTGTCCCCAGCATTCTTTGTTCTGTGGGTCCTCTCACTGCCGGCCAGATCCACTAACGACAGCTGGCTGACACAGATCTTATCTGGGTCCTGACATCAGTGAAAAAAATTACAACATTGCTATGAATAGGATTCTATTTAGTCATGTTCTCTTTACCGTTTTATTTTCTTTCTAAAATTATGATTCATTACAGCAATAAGCAAGAAGAATTCATTTGTAGTAGTTTTTAAAGATACATGTATATGATGAAATACACTGTATATTGACAGTTCAGCTAAGTGTCATTATATTCAGTATATAAATGGCTAATAATATATAGTCTCCAAACTTAACTAAAAGCGCAATAGAATACAAACTTCTTTTGTGCATATTCTAATGTATTGACACCTTTGAATTGTGAGTATTTATGAGGACTACCTGTAACACTTCCTCCCCCCGGGGGTCTAGTGGGCCCTGGACTAAGCGGATGTTGAAGATACTGTGACTGCGACTTGACTCTGCATTCAGAGCTGTGTGGGCAACCTTACGTCTCTTTTGTCCTGAAATGTTATTATCAAATGAATTTATTATCATTGAACAGTGATTCAGAACCTTCAATGTGTGTTATTTTGTTAACAGCCAAATCATACTGTTTAAATCACTATTGTGCATGGTTATTTAGGCATAATTTCACAAAACTGCCTCATTTCAAAAGTTAGGTTCTTGTTATTGATAAAGGGAAATAACTCTCATTGATAATAAAATCTTTGGCAAAAATTATTTTGCAGAAAAATAGTTGCAGATATACATGCACAGTGATTTTTTCAGCGTCACATTTCTGGAAATCAGCTTTAAAGAAATGTTTAAAAAATTCTATCTTCGGTCAAACATGCAGTCTTCTAAAAATGCTGTATTTACACAGGAAAACAGATATCAAATTACATTGTACAAAATGACACTGACTATCTAAGACACCTTCAGTCTACCTTTAAAGAGGACTTCAAAAGCCTCCTCTGGGCTGGTGATCTCCACTTCTACACAGTTCATCACGTACATACAGTCACTGGAGTCTGTCCTCAAGATCTTAGTCTGGGGAGGCCTACAACAGAGAGACATAGAATAAAATAAAAGTGTTAATCCATATACATGTATGGATTGCACATCATCTAGACTAATGCTATTGCAAGATCTAGACCAGTATCAATACTTTATCATTGATTATATTATAAACCCACAACTTAAATGTACAAATATCTACATGTATTTTAGAATTCAATTGCTTGCCTATACATGCCAGTTTATCACACACAGTAGAAATGTGGCACAAACTATATGTAAAATAATTCAAGCTGAATAAACTGGAATTTGTTCAAGATCACATTAACTAAACTTGCTTATCATTCAGTATCACAGAAATGCAAAGTCACTGTAACCTTGAATGAAATATATGGAGATAATGCAGATACAAGATGCTGTGATCTGAATTTATAAGACCCTGTGACTTACTTGTAACCTGTGATGGGGTCATAAGGCAGCTCTTCTAACAGATCGTACACGTAATTGTTGTAGATTTCTATATAGGAGACAAACACAGCATACTGATTGTCATCGTCCACGCTGGTAAGAATGGTCGGGTCGCTAATCCTCTCTTGGTCTCCAAAGTTACCTCTGTAACCACATAAACTTAATAATTAACAATGACAATACCCCTTTCATGCACAAGCGTTTCAAGTTAAATTTTTTTCCCACTTACCAACTTGTAAATTAACGTAAAATTTATTGTGGCTGGGTGAAATTAGACAAGGCACCCATATGGCAAACCTTTTTCTCAAGAACACTGTATTCTCGTCAATTTTATTTTATCAATTAATAATTCAAGAACTGAAAATGATGAAAATCTGGTAATTGGGAGACTCGGCATTCAATTTACAGATACTTCGGGAGTCAAAAAATCATAAAAATTACAAGTAAATCAGGAGAGTAGGTGGGTTTGTTTGAAGTGAGGGTTTTAGGGGTGGTTCCACACTAATTAAGAAGTTAGTCTGTTGTACTCTCTGTTTGGGGTGGGGGTATTGGGGGGGGAGGGGATGATGTCCTACCCTCTGTTTGAGGTGGGGGTTTTATGTGTGTGTGGGGGGGGAGGGGGGGGTTACCTTTTGTTTGAGGTAGGGGTTTTGGGGGGGGGGGGGGTGTCTTACCTTCTGTTTGAGGTGGGGTTTTGGGGGGGGGGGGTCTTACCTTCTGTTTGAGGTGGGGGTTTTGGGGGTAGTTATCCCTGGCATTATGTCCCTCTTTTGTCGCTCTATCATGGCATCAGCTTCAGACTGCACCTCAAAACCATTCATTTTGTCTGATTTAAAAACCTACCAAAAATTAATCACACATTTGTTAGAACAAGAAGATAATCATTACTGAAGTTTCATAAATATCTGTGGGACAGACTCGCTGAAGAGGAAGCTCTTAATTCTGTATTATTTTTATAAAAATATTAGTATATCCTCACTGAAATTATTGTAGTGTGAATAACAAAAGTTGCACTTCTAAATAGACTGTGCATGTACAATTATTTTCTGACACAAAGAAGGCTAACACTAAATTATACGTTAGACGATGACTTACGTATTTCTTGGCCTGAACCCCACTGATGCTGTTAAACAGAACATCTAGACATCGGGGGAGGATACCCTGATCTTTGGGGGTCCCTGTCATTGTGTACGTCTTACCAGAGGAGGTGATGCCATATGTAAAGAGTAACCCTATAAAACAATACAGCAATGTTAGCTCCTTGTCATGTACAGTGAGTCAGTGACCCTAAAAAAAAATATATATTTATGAAAAATTGGAGAGACTGAAAAACAAATACATATTTCAAGTCAGATTGAGCAAATTTTAATACATGTACGTATTATGCCTTAAAGTGGAAAAAAAATTTATGTCTGTGCATTGTTTGTCCACACATCAAAACGTTTACTGCATATATTTATTCTCATCCACAACTGGCATTACCCTTTTCAAAACCTTGGTTGTCAATTAAATATAAAGTACATGTCTGTAACAGATGACTTCAGTCTAATCTATTGTTATATGTTATGGTATGTTGATGTTTATCAGTTCACAATAACTAACTTTTCTTTCTATTTTTAGCACCCCTCTTTTTTTCATATCAATTTATAATACTGCATATCATCTAAAAGAATCAACCAATTACCATTTTTGCCCTTGATTAGGTCGTCCACTAGGGGGCAGGCCACGTAGTCAAACACGGCCTTCTGTGATGTGTATTCATCAAATACGTATTGGAACGTGAACTGGTACTGTGAAAAACAAATTGTAGGTGAATATACCTGTATATTGACAGAGATCAAGTACATTGGAACAATAGAATAACACAGGGCTTTCTAAAAGATTAAAAACAGGTGGTACTTTTTCAAAAATAGGAGGGATTTTAATTAATTAAAATTTTTAAATTGTTAACCTATCATAACAACATTTTCAATCTCAATTCATAGGTGACTGAAAATACCTTCAGACTTCACAACCATTTCTAACAAGACCTAGTATGGTTAGTGGAGTTGACATAAATACTAGCCCAGGGAAAATTCAAACTTAAAACATTGTTCCTTATCAAGGCGATAATTCATTCATTCTTACCTCTTTGATCTGTCCATTTCTGGCCACTGTTAAAGAATTCTGCAATACAATAACAAAAAAATACATGTGCATGCTATAAACATGGTAAACTGATGCAAGTATACAAATGATATTTCTTTGCTATCAGATTTATTTTGTATTACAAATTCTTTTGCAGTTTGATGGAGTGACAACTATTACTGTTATTACTACTATTACTCCAATGTCATTTATCACAGTCCTACCTCTGGTGGTATCAACTGAACCACTGTAGTATTGAGGGGCTTTACACAGCATGTGTCATTAGGATTGTCTAAAGGGCGGATGCGACAGTATACCTAGAAAATAAAATGTCTGGTTACACGCAGCTGTTCAGACTTATGTTCAGCTGGTAGTATTTCAATACAATCCACTGAAAATGAGGTTTTCTCTTTAGAGGAGAGGCTTCCATAGCATATCATTTTTTACTTCACTGTCGAAAATACTTATGATGTGATAGCCTAATATACTTTACAATCTGTTTAGTTTCTTCAAATTATTTAAATAAATCTTTTAAATTCATTTTTAACCAAGGTACAAAAAATTACTAAATGTAATTTTACACGGATTTTAAGCCTAATTCAACAAAATGACACTTGTCTTACAATTAGGCCTTATTTCATAACTATACTAACTATCACATTAAACACCACTGGATTTATTACATCACAAAAATCACTTCAAGTCATCTTATTTTATTTCTTTCTCATGAGGATAAAGAATTACTAATTTGATAAGTAATTTTACCTGTACATGCAAGGTAAAATTTTTGGTATAAGTGATGGCGTGCAGCATATTTCGGTACATGTACACATGTACATGTAAAACTTGGATTTGATTTATTAACATGTAACTATAATGGGTAGTGCTGAATTTTGACACATTACATCTACATATATATCAGTGGACCAGAAGTATAAGGTAAATAATTTCTTGAATAAATGTTCTTGTATCTGTAGTTTACCTCCACTGGGTCAACTTCCCCTTTCTTCTTCGAGTTTTTACCTCTCCTGTAAAAAAGACGGAACTGTTTATCCATCACATTTTATGCCTACGCAACTAGGTTATAAGCACCTGTTGTTTTTTGTTTTCAGGTCTTTCAAGATCAACTTGGCCTTCGATGATACGTCTTCTTATATCCAAAGTAATGAGGGAATAAAATCACTTTTTTCACCTAGGATATCTAAAGCGATGATATTTTTAAATTATATAAAGGCATGATAGGAATCACACATTTTCTTTGCATAGGTCAAGCAAAGAAGAATGAGAATGGATTTTTAGTAGCTCACAAGAAGGGAGAACCATTATATTTATTATGTAAAATAAATGAAAAATAATTATAATACGGTTAATACCCCAAAATAAAAACATACAGATCTATAATTTTGCAGTAAATAATCCAACATTTTTAATCACAAGAATGGGATCCACTATTTAAAAAAGATTGACTTACAATATAACCAAAAAAAGATTGACTTACAACATAACCAAAAAAAAGATTGACTTACAATATAACCAAAAAAAAGATTGACTTACAATATAACCAAAAAAAAGATCGACTTACAATATAACCAAAAAAAAAGATCGACTTACAATATAACCAAAAAAAAGATCGACTTACAATATAACCAAACTGCTTTGAATAATACAATTCTTTATCTATCACTGATAGTCAAACCACATCAGAAACTTGATAAACATGACAAAGGGTGGCCTATACCAATATATAGAGGAATGGCGGACTAACACAAGTCTTGTACACTTATACACTAGTCCATTAAAAAAATCCAGGGTCTAAATATATACAGATTATGTAAATTATGACATTTGTCTTCATTCTTTGTTTGACTGAAGACTGAATGTAGATCTATACAAAAATATCATGAACATATTTTGGAATCACATGCATGGAAATTTATCAACTAAGCCTAGATAAATATATTTTCTTTCTGTCTTAATGTTAATAAAATACTTACTGTGGCTTCATAATTTCATAAAAATACACCACATCTGTAAGGAATCATTCAAAAGACTGATCGCCGGTGTGTAAACAATGTTTCTTACGTGCTCGTTTAAAATTTACCTCGGAAAATCACATGACCAATCGGCGCTCTTTGTCAGCGCCTCTAGCGGAAATAATGATAAAAGGTAGATAACTCTAATATCCATCTTGATATTACATACATCGATAATCTAAAAACGCTCAAGATATAAAGAAACAAAATGATGTTTGTACCATTTACAGAAGATTCTGATATTTTTCAGTTCTGACGCATCTCCATTATCAGTCCCGTAGGAAACAATTTCAGTTTGGGGAGGTGAAAGGGGGGGGGGGGACACACAACATCTCAGTTCAGTTTGGGGATGGGGTCATACGATACAAAAATTTCTTGACAAGCCCCCCCCCCCCAAAGTCATCAGAAGTTAACTTATTATTGAGGGGACACAAATAGCAACAGTATACCATAAATCGGCAAAAAATTACGGGGGGGGGGACCTATAATAGTCATTCTAAATTACTGAATGAGAAATTCTATCGCATGCTCTTAAAAAAATCGAAAATACCATTTTTGCACATAATAAATTCATAATTCGTGGTGTGTTTAGAGTACTGCCCTAGATTTTATTCGTTTAGAATTATATTTAAAAAATCAAAGTATACAAATCACAAAAACGATATCAATTTCTATAACAAAATGATTTCTGGTTAGGGGAGGTCAAGGGTACCCCCCCTCATAGACCCCTCCCCCCTCACTCTCTTTCCTGAAACAACAGACTTAGTCATAATATATATATTTACATTTTTAAAACTATGTTTGTAAATTAATAAATCAAGATATTTAAAATCTAAATTTTGACTTGTTTCTCTCTCAGTTTTTGGTGATGTATGGAGCTTGGCGACAGCCCTGCAACCGTTTAAATATAACTTTGAAAACTAATTTTTATAATTGCATAAAGTAGCTGCTACAATAACCATTCAAAGCACTTATAAAGTTTCAAAATGATGTCTGATTTTGAAGAGGAAAAAATAACAAAGTTTCACATGTGTATTTTAACAGAAACATTCTATTGAAAGCAATTTTATTGGATCAAAATGCCGGATATTGTAACTTTGAAACTTTTCAAAAAAAAAGTATCTAAAATCTATGAGATCCTATTGGCTAACGTTTTCATTTATTCATTATCAGATTATGTTCTTGTTCAAGAGGCTTTCATTTAAGAAAAAACTTATCCTTTATACAAGGATACCTTATGCTAAGTTTTATTAAAAATTGCATGGTCCAGTGATTTGAAAAAAAAAATCTGGAGGAAGTTGCACGAGACAAACACACAGACTGTATATTGGCACGTTGGTAAACCTTTGATCCTCTGGCCCAGGAGAATTTAAAATGTATACACTGTCTTATTTCTAATCAGAAATGACTTTGATTTAATATTGATTTGCTTCTAAAAATAAACACTGTTACAGTACTAATATGTTGTAGCGATGCATTTATTATGCAATTTACCGTTTTGTTTTGAAAAGAATCACATGTCATTTACCTGTTAAGATTAAGTCTTCCAGTGCGCGCCCTGCTTATCTGTCTTTCTTACCTTTCGTTCACTTTTGGGGTTGTTATTTCATTATTTGTTGCTGGAGATCCCACCCACTTAGGGCGAAAATAACAGATATTTTCCATGTTTCTTGTGAAGACCCGTGTATGACATCATTATTGACGTCACAATGCGTTAACGTTTTAACCTAATCCCTGGCAAGCGTAATAAAGCCTTAATAACAAAGGGAATTTTGTTTTTCTTTTATTTGTAAAAAGAAACAGATACACTTTATGGTTTATTAGGGTTATATGTACAATTGGAATAATTTTTCTTTTTTATAAACTATAAATGATTCATTTAAATTACTTCCTTTATTAATTGTTCTTGTCCAATGAAAATGAGTATCAACAAATGGAAATTCTTGCTGTTCTACATTGACGCCCCAATGTCATATCAATCTGTCGAAAAATAAAAAAAATAATGATTTTAATAACCTCTCCAAAAATATTTTCTATCATTATATATATTACCCTTTTATTTAACATATCATATAAGTTTGATAAATTTTATAGAATTAATTAAATTTACGTCACTCCGGATTGCATGTGCATGACTGACACCCGTCTGGCCCGAGTGGTCCTATTTCGTAACTTCCGCCACAATTAGCGATGCATTTCTCCATTTCCATACAACTTCCTATAAGGCCATGCACTGTTCAATATTCAAGTGAATTTAAAACTTAATTTGTAAATATATACGCATAAATTAAGTTATGCAATGGTTTGCTTTTGTTTTGTTTTTTTTACAAACAAGTACAACTTTAGTGAAATGCACTTTAAATTGTCTAAAACTTTCACATGTAGCCTCATACACTACTTAAGAATGGTAATTTTCCGGGGGTTTTGGGGGGGAGGGGGTTGGTCAATACTGTACATATATTTTTTTAGACCTTTAAAAGATGATGATATGCTTATATCGTTAGGCACTTGTATGTATAATGCAAAAAGATCACCCACTTTTCCCATTTTTCGCGGAGCATGAGGGACCAAAGCATTCGGAATTGTAGGCAACCTTTTCCACTGTTAAATAAAAAATGTAAAGACCTCTTATAAGTTCTCCATGACTTTGTATTCATACAAAATAAATAAAAAATATATGACAATGATGCATAACAATAAATGAAAGCTTTCAGAATTTTTTTTAAAAAAGTCCTTATTCTTTTGTAAAATAAAAGGTATCAGTATAAAGTTATAACCAGGGGTCACTTACCTTCTTTATCCGTTGTTTTACCTACCCCAGGGCCTGAAAAGGAAATATAAATAGAATAGATTAAAAATCAGAGAGAGAGAGAGAGAGAGAGAGAGAGAGAGAGAGAATACCCATGGATAACATTGGCCCATGCATTGGATTATGATCCACCCCTCCTCCTCCTCCTCCTGACCCACTTGCTGCCGCCATGAAGGGAGATTTCATAGCACTACCCATACCTCCACTGGCTGCAGCGGCGGAACTCAGCGATGCCTTAAACGGCCCGCTCCCTCCAGATCCACCACCGCCACTACCTCCCATCATCATACCACCAGATCCACCTATGCAAAACAAAATGTTCGAAAACTTGTGCTTAGTAGCTGGAGGTACATTACTTATCGTTATACTACTCTATATAGTATCTATACACCAACATGTGAAATTGAAAAAAAAAATATTAAAATTATTATAAAAATAATTTTTAGTTTTACTGCTTTTATACTTTGCCAGAGTGATTTACATTTAGATGTGTCCACTATTCCATTAGTAAACTATAAACTATACTATAAGCCATAATTCAAAGGCAAACTACATGTATATATACTCGTAGAAAAATATAATCAGAAAAAAGGCGAGCGTCTGGCGGATAAGAGTTACCTCCCATTCCCATGCCTCCTCCTGAACCACCCCCTGTCATACTGGCACAGAACGGCCCCGCACACCCACCGCTGGATCCGCCTATGAAAACACAATCGGATCAAAATTTAATTTTACACAAAGTAAGGCAACCAGAAAAGAAATATTATTTGAATATTTTGTTTGTTACAGTTTCTCTACTTCACGTATTTAAGCATTTAAGAAATTTAAGATTTAGCATATAATTCAATTCAATTCACTTTATTGACAATTACCATGTCGGCATACAGTCATGAACAGTAATAACATAAAGCATATTGACACGATTAATACATGCATATACAAAGTGACAAATGTAAGGTAAACAAAATAATGTAGAGTATATTCACATATTTCTAAGTATTCATTGCTGACTTTCTTTTCTGGTGTCAAAGCACTTTTTCAATAAACAACATATCCTAGCAGTTGTAATATTTGTAGGATTGACAATTTTTCTAATGGGATTATCACTAGTATATGTGTTTATATTAAATATATCACTATAATTGCATCTTTATTGGTCATACTTTTGAGCAGTATAGTACAAAATGTCTTCAATAAATAATTTACATGAATAGCATAGACGTTTTTCTCTAGGAATAGGGGGTTTACAGTATCTACCCGTTTCAATATACAATGGATGGGCACTGATCCTTAATTTTGTTAATACAGATCTCTCTTCAAAGGCAGCTTTAAATAATTTTGCAATTTGTATTCATTTTGATTTACAATTTTACAATAAAAAGCTAACTTTCCAGAGTCTGATTTGCTTATATTTTTCAGTTGTTCATGTATCTTGTTTTGGTAATGCTCTTGTAATTTGTTTTTCAAGGTTGTGTGAGAAATATCCAAAGAAGTGATATTTAATTTTTGTAGTAATGAAGACAGTTTTCTTTGCCAAGATATTCTAGATAAAGTTTTTTGTCTTCTTTAAATGCAGAAATCACTAATTAATTATTATAAACATGTTTGTTTTCCATTTCCTTAAGTCTCTTAAAATATTTAAACATATATTCATAACATAAATAGTACAAAGGAAAACGACCCAATTCACACAAAACAGCAAGATTTGATGCCTTTCTTTAAATATTAAGTGTTTTGTTTGATGCCTTTCTTTAAATATTAAGTGTTGTGTTTTTTCAAAAGGAAATTGGTCTGAAGACATTAAATCACATTTGAAGTCAGTTATCCATACTTCGGATCCATATGTGACAATTTGCATTATCATTGAATGATATAATTTTCACATAATTTCAGCTGAAAAATTAATTTTTGCAGGAAAATTTGATTTAATAGCATAATATGCTTTCCTAGCACGTTCTGATAGTTGTTCAGCTGCAAATTTCATTTTTCAATCAGATCTGAACACAACACCCAAATATTTATATTCATTAGTTACGTTACAGGCCCGTAGGAAGCAATTTCAGTTGGGGGGGGGGGGCACAGCCATACATTTTTCAGTTGACAGTTGAGGGGGCACTACCAAAAATTTCCTGACAAGCAAAAAAAAAAAAAAAAAAAAAGGTCATCAGACGTTTTTATTCAGGGGGCACAAGCATATAATATCTATGTTTACTGTAGTAATCTAATATATCGGCAAAATTATTGGGGGGGCACGCCCCCCCCCGTGCCCCCCCCCCGGTTCCTACGGCCATGAGTTAAAACAATAGAAAACATGGCGGCCTTTGGTACATATTGGCATAGTATCTAGATATGCAGGATATGTGCTTACATTTTTAAAATAATTCACAAAATCATCAACAAAGATATTGAAAAGTGTTGGACTTAAATTATCACCTTGTTTGACTCCTCTATTGGCTTTAAATTTTTCACTCATTTGATTGTCCTTTTTACAAGAATAGTATGTATTTGTATACATATCTGTCAAAAGTTTGAGAAACATATATTTAATTGTTCAGATATGCGTTTCTCTTTTGATTGGATTTCATGAAATCACTCAGTCTTGAAAAAAAAATGCAATTGGATGATTAATAAAAATAAATCCGTCCGTCTGAACACAACCTTAACAACTATGTCATGTGATACACTGTGTGATAGATAGTCAGTCTTAAAACTCACCGCTTGACCCAGCCGACGGCATCATAGGATTACCACCTGGTCAAAGAAAAACAAAGATAATGACAAGACGATAATCTTAAATCAAATTAATAAAGAGACATATAAATAAATATAATATAATAAATATAATATACATATTATATATAAATATAAATAAAAAGTTAGTTGAGTATAATACATTGTTCTGCCTGACTGCAAATAGCTATGTAATTCTTACATCGTTACAAAGCCTAACTTAATCAAAACAAACCACTTTAGAATGTATCAAATTTAAAATGTTTACATATTAAAAATTATACGGGAAAAAATGCCATTTTTCTGGTTTTTTACCTCATTTCTTTTAATATCTTCAGAATCGATAAGAAAAATGAAATTTTCTTAGACTTTAAGTAAATTATAACCCTTCTCTTACCCCCTCCGGAGCCACCGTCAATACACAAAGGGAACTGACACTTTGCCCCTCCCCCGGAACCAGTACCACCTCCCACATCTGTAGCAAAGAAAATTATAAATACAGACTGTAAATGTTGTTTGTAATCTCCTTACAAAGTGTCATTGCTCAGTCGTCATAAGTATAAAGTTAAATGTTTGCTATGGCTCGTATACTGAATACTGTCTGTCTGTCAGCTGAAAAAAAACTATGTCGTAGACGAACAATATAGTTATTGAGAAGTAATAAAATCAAAGAATCATACCCATGTTAAATACTGAATTTTTTTCCATACACATCACGAATACTGTTGCATATTACTGTTTCGAGTCTAATGCAGCAAAGAAATGTATGAAACGTCATCAATCTCGAATAGAAATCAAATTCATAATACTAGAAACATTCTCTTACATATACATATTAAGCTACAGAGAAACTAATTTTGACACTATAATGCACCCAATTTTCTTCCAAACCAAACCTAATGCCTGCTTACTGTTTAGAATATTATTTCCGCTTCCTGTATGCATTCCAGTCATTCCGCTACCACCACTTGCTGTATTCATCCCGGTCATCCCACTGCCGCCACTTCCGGCTGTCCAAGTCTGCATCCCGCCTCCACCATTATTATTGTTGTTACTGTTGTTCATGTTATTACTATTAATGTTGTTGCTATTATTGTTGTTATTGTTGTTGTTTGATGTCTTATCTTTGCATCGACAGCTGGGGCATCCGTCGGACTATCATGGAAAAAGTATAGACATGTTTAGGGGCGACCATTTGACTCTAAGAGGGAGGGAGGGGGCTGGCAAACTTTTGGAACTCGATTGTATAATTTCATGACAGTGAAGAACAAATTGTTTATTTCCAAGATTATCAGGGACAGATTTATTTTCTTCATCTCTGAAAAACATTTTTGACTTAAGCAAAAATGGAAATCTTCTCAAACTCAAAAACTCTATATTTGTGGGGGTTGGGAGGGGTAGAATGGGGTTTCCCCCAGTCTACCCCCTCAGAATCAAATGGTGGTACCTTACCCATGAGAACAAAGACAGTTGGTATGTTAATTTTTATTCTTTTTGTAAATCTATTGGTTTTACATTTGAAGTCTCAAACTAATGAGTCTTTCCAAATACAGACAAAAAAAGAGAGAAGATTTTGTTTATAATATTTATAATGTATCATCAGTGCAATGGGGGCAAGAAAGGTGCCCTTTTTAATACCTGTGTATTTCCTATGTCATATCCGGTGTCCTTACATTTGATCATGCACGCGATCAGTTTAGTACACTCCATTATGTTCTTTGTTGTTGGTTTAGGTGTTGTTGTTGTTATTGTTTTGGAAACAAGATTGTTCTCTACAAGAAAAAAAGCATTACTGCACAAATTCGAGTTATGAATTCTTGAAAAAAAAATGATTCGATTTCTAGTTATGATTCAAAACCTCTTTTGATGCACGTGCACTTCTGACAACCATCTGCACCAGTTTCCCCTATTTTGGCCTCCCCTTTACATGACATTATACATAATTTAGTTCCTATACAGCTGTTCTGAGGTTTGGCTGCTGGGACATTTTCACACACAGGCATCCAAGCTTTTATGGCTTTGCAAAGAAAAACAATTGTAAAGGAGCTTGCGAAAATATTATACCATTTATTTTTTAAAGCACGAGGTAGTTATTCTAGAATCCTACCTGGTGCACAAGGACACGATTTACATCCGAATTCGTCCGTGACGACACAATCACGTGGACAATCGATGATAAGCCCTGTGACACAGTATCTAGGAACCCCTGGGCTTATCAACGGAACGTTTTTTGTTTTACAACCCGAGGGGATAGAATTTCTTCGAGGAGGGAATTTCATCATACCATGTGAGGGTCCATTCATTTGAAATGGTGACTTTCCCACGAAAGAGGAACCCGGAAATGACATCATGCCCACTTCCGGTTTCTTCTCCTTCTCAATAATGATTATATTAGTTTTATCTTCATTTCCTTTTGACCCCCAGCTTTCTCCTCCGATGGCTCCCCATTTTTCTCCCAAAGAAGACAAAGAACCACTTTCACTGCCTGCAAATCCCCCAACCCCAGAGTCTGTGTTAAATCCGCTCCAAGCATAAGTTTTGTCACCAGATCCTTGTTTTTCTAAAATTGAAAACTGAAGACTTTTAATTGTGAGCAATTGATGGAAACGATTGAATTCAAAAGTACCTTTCACATCATCAATATTCATCATCATTATCTTCAAAGCATTAAAATAGTTCAAAAACTAAGCCTAATGATCAATTTACCAAAGCCCTTTTTACACCGACACACTCTACATTTGTCAACGTATTCTATACACCAAGGGTGACAGTTGGGGTCCTCTGGTGGGCATTGATTCAATTCCGGTAACTCTGTCAAAAAAGTAATATTTTCTGAGAAATTTATACAAATTCGATAAAAAATCATAAGAATTTCCTAATTGAAAAATAATCCATAACGTACCTAAGCACGAATGTTTGTACAAAATTGTTCTTTAATGAAACGGATATATGGAGGAAAAGTACAATTTAATAAGAAACATATTCTGAAAATAAAATGATTGATCAAATTCAGGTATCTAAACATAGCGATTTTCATGCCAGATACCATTTCATAAAGAGAACTGATAAACGAATTGCAAAATCAACATAAAGATACAACTGTATAAGTATTGAGACTAATCTCTTTATAAAAAAAAAGAACAAAAAAAGTTTCAAAATTACTTTTTATATATTAAACGAACAATTCAGTAATCGTAGGTAATATTCTAAGTACAACAAGATGTAATATATGGGATATATGAATAAGTGCCATACTTACGTGCTGTAATGACACAGGAGAAAAACAACAGACCAACAAGCACGCAGAGAGTGTCCATACTTGATTTTGTTTTGAAATCGTGGTTACAAATCATTAAAATGTGTTTTCTAAGTAGTATTTTTTTTTTTTTTTAGAAATTAGTCCATCAAGAATATTTAAAAAAACGATCACAAATAATTTCCCCGAAACTTGAATGCAAATTTTTCGAGCACCTGCTTCGAGAGGTGATATGAGGGGGTATCTGACCTCTAAGTACCTAGCCCCCTCACTTTACTGAATTTATTACGAGTAAAAGCATCTTATCCAGTCTATCAGGAATATATTATGTAAGATGGAATGTGTAATTCTATGAATACATGCCATAATTCAATAACAAAGGATATTTATCAAAATATGCTTAGTATATTTTATCATAGTTTGATTTGTTCAGCTGCTTGGGGCGAGTCAATATGCATGTGGGTGGAGTGTTTTCTAGTACAAGTTCCGCCCAACTCTCTCCAAGTATAAGGTCTTTTAATCACTATAAGGCAATAACAATCTTTTCATTCTATATCAAATATGTAAAAGTTACCTAATAGATGCATATGTAAATCCTATTTTTTGGGGAATAAAAAAAATGCATCTTCACCAATTAGGCTACATAAAAATGTCTAACAGATATAAAAATCTTGAAGAGCTAAAATTTAATTCTGAGTTTGAAATACATTGTATTGAGAAAATAAGATATTCCTTTATATATTGTTTTCTGATCTTTTAAAACTGCAATCAGATATGATAATTAGATTTTGCAGAATTACTGGACAATTTTGAATACATGTAACAGTTGATGTACACAACGCACATTGCCTAACCTATGCTTTTGATCTTCTCAAACTTTTATCCATTTCACATTCTATATTATTTATATACACATATAACGTAATTTATCAGAATTAATGTAATATCCTGATATTTTGTTGGGAAGTCGTAAGCTCCTATATCTTAAACAAAATGTCCCTCACTGACGGAAATTCCTCGCACCTGCAAGCATTGATAAGACCATGATCGAGTCTTCCTGTCGATGACCAGGTTATCAATTCAGGCCAAGTCAAAAATTTTCACCTGTTAATTATGGAAATGTGCCCTCCCACATATTTCAGTACCTTTTTAACAAACACACAACCAGAAATTTATTGAGGCTTGGCCCTGAAATAAATAAGTTTCGTAACATTTTAGCATTTTATTATTTCGTTTTCGGTATTTCGAGGCTAAGGTTACATAATCTTGGCAAAGAGGGAATAGAAGCGACCAAATTAGACAAAATGGACATAAAGTGTGTAGTTCTAACCTTCACTGTTATAGCTACAGCAACATGTAAGTCCTTAGAATTATTATTACCGCAGATTTGATTTAAGTGTGAAATCAGGAATAATGAGAAGATTTTATGATATTTCAGTATTTGCTTCATATTTATTAATAGGTTTAACTTATGATTTTGAGAAACATTTATCTTATGTAGATCAAGGACACAATCAATTTTTATTAAGGACTCGGTTGAAGATAAAACATGTATGTTATACCCTGACTAGAAGGAAACGTCTTGAAATAATTAAAAATGTAATGTTTAGAATAAAGAGTTGAACAGTAAATTACGCTAAAGTTGCATGATGTTAATGTTCCATTATGTTATAATGAAAAGACTAGGTGTATTTTTATAACCTCATAAGATTTTTTTGTCATCTACTTTTATGTTATATGGATAAAATAAATTTAAATTTTAAAAATATAGGTTTGCCTAACCCAACAAACAGAAAGGGTACGGTTTTTTTTTAAAACTCTGCATCTCTTTGAATTTGCACTGTTTCATGTTTTGCTGTGGTAACTTTCCCAGGTTTCCGAAAGAGAAAATCAGCCAATCAAATGCTTACTCAGGATTTATACAGCAGAGGAATGCTGGGAATTTCCGGTGCAGGACAAAGCATGACAATAAATCAAAATGCACTGCTCCCCCTTTTGCTTGCTAACCCTTATTTCACCGAGTTGTACATGGAAAACCCCTCCCTCGCTTCCCAATATGCCACACTGCTTATGTATGGTAAAGAAGATCTAACCATGAATAAGTGTCTTTTTTCAGCGTGTTTCATTATTACGTTTTTAAGTATATGATATGTTTGCTTTTTCTGATGTAACTGGAGAAATTAATTTCAATACAGATCTGGAGGTTTGACCTCATGCACTACTCTTTTAACTAAGATGTATATTAGATTTTATATTGATTTTATGCATATGTTTAGCCGGAAATGTCCGGGCCAATAATAACGACTGTCCACCATTACCCCGGTCCTGTCCCACTCAGTGCTATGCAATTAGCTCTACTGGATGTATCATCTGCCAATGTCCTAAATCTCAAGGTAATCCCTATATCATGTTTCCAACTTCAGTTAAACATGTAAATCAAAATAAAATGGAAAAAACTAAACTTACTGGACACTGTATCATTTACGCTATTTGCATTACAAATTCTCCTTCTCTTATACTTGACAAATGATTACAGGGTCGTCTTCATCAAATTCCAGTCACACCGCAGCAGGGGGCTCCTCTTCCGCCGGAAACAACAACGGATGTCCGCCATTCCCATCACAATGTGACCCTAATTGCCTTTCTTTAGACAGCATTGGATGCCCTATCTGCTCTTGTTCAACAAGTAACCATTTAATTAATATGCATTTCATGTGCACACTATGCCCTCGAGATATGATGGTTCCAAAATAATATAATTTAATTAAATTTTTCATTTTTTAAGCTTGAATTGACACAACACCCTAGAGCGCTCTTTAAAATTGTATGCATATTTCTTGTAATTTTAGAGAGTACCATGCAAAAATGTTGATCATCCAAATGCTTTGATATGTATTAAAAATGTATCGAAATACGTGTGTTAATCATGCAATCATACAGTATACGTATGACTTTGGAAGAAATATCTTAATTTTACCGCAATCCTAGGAAAAGTGCATTTTTTTTTCTTCTGAAGTACTAGTAATGTGCATATTTTCTTAAAGATCGCTAATGAAATCCGGCATTTATATGTCGTAAAGATAATTTATTTTTGTATTGTGACTCGTTGGACTCACAAAGGTTCCTGTAAAATTCCAGGATCATAACAGTTTTGAAAAATCATATTTTATAAACTCAAAATTGCGTACCAAGCGCTGCCAAAACCGTTACCTTAAACGATTTATGTATTTTTCACCTTTGGTGCAAAATTCAGGATGAAGTACAATGTATTTTATCTTACCCTTTGTCTTTTATTGGATGCTTCTGAAAAATCTCAAAATCCAAAAAATCTTGATGCACGATGAAGTATTTTATTTTACCCTGTGTCTGTCATTAATCTCAAAATGGCTCTTAATACGTCACATTTTTCCTCTAAAATTTTATTTAAAATAATTTTGGATATATGGGTTTTTTTAATTTTGTTGAAATAACACTTCAAATAAGACCTTTTTTGAGATAAATTACAGGCTGATGTAAACTGATGTAAACTGTTACTGATGTAAACAAAACTGTGACTTGCTTTTGCCAGTGCTTTTAAGGTTTCAAAAAAGATATATTTTCAATCTTTTTTCTTCTTCGTTGCGTTTCAAGACCATCAATCATCCTCACAAAACTCAACAAGTTCTGGTGGAGCTGGAAGTGCGCCGAAAGTTAACGGATGTGCTCCTTTTCCAAAGGGCTGCAGCGCAGACTGTGCACACATCGACTCCATGGGGTGTATAATCTGTGCCTGTCAGACAGGTAACAGGAGATCACAACCGTATCATTAATTTTTTTGCATCTCCATTAAAAACAGATAGATTTCCTTTTCAGAATCTTGTGTGTAATTAAACTTCATAAGTATTTCAACAGAGCGTTGATATTGTTTGTTTACTATTTGAATGGTCCTGATAACATCGGTGTTTTCTCTTAGGTGGATCAGGACACACAAGTAACGGTACATCTTCTGCCTCCTCCTCCTCCACCCAGACCTATCAGGGGAACAGTAATGGATGTCAGCCCTTCCCCAAGAACTGCCGTCCAGAGTGCGCCGCAGTAGACGCCCGAGGGTGCATCGTCTGTCAGTGTCCCACTTCAGGTTAGTTAAGTCTATAAAAAAAGTCTCGTGAAAAGTAAAGTCCATAGAGCAAGATAAATAAATAAGTTGAACAAGGAATGCAAAAAAGAAAGATTGTTGCCTAAAATCGTATGTAATCTTTCTTGAATTTCTGATTAGGTTCTAACAACTCAACATCTACCTCCGCACAGACAACCAGTTCCGGTGGAAATGGAATTAACGGATGTCCACCATTTCCAAAGAACTGCGACTCCTCGTGTGTATCTTTGGATGATATGGGATGCGTCGTTTGTACTTGTTCAGGTAAGTTCTTTTGCTGTGAATTTTAAAAGCATCTTTGAAAACAATTAAAGAAGTATCAAAATTAGAAAATAAAATTTTATTTTTGTAAAGCTAAGCTTTTTCTGCAAATAGGTTGCTTTTCAGGCATAAGAAACGAGAACAGAAAAAGTATTGTAATTGTAATTTTTTTTTCAATGCAGTTTCCAATAACAATAAAACACAGACTGGTGTTCACCAGATCGGAAATTACGTCAACACACAAGGTCAAGGTTCAGCAGGAAACGGAAATGGATGCCCTGCAATAGATCCAAAATGTCCAGCTCATTGTACTTCTGTTGACAGTCAGGGATGTGTTCGCTGTACCTGTCAGACAGGCAAAAATCTTAACAATTACACATTTATACACTAATATCTTTTTTGATTTCAATTGAAACATTGAAGCCCCATATTAACTGTTATAAGCAATGTAATCAATTTACATGTAATAACTTTCTGATTTACCATTTGTAGGTTCGACGTCTTCATCCACCTCACAATCCGGATCTGTCTCAAACAGCAACGGTGAATTAGTTTTTCTACACCTTAATTAAAATAGTGATATGTTTAAATTCATTCTTAATACTGTATTAAAAGCCTATACACATATAAAATTAAATTAAAGAATTCTACGTAATCCACAGAGAATTTGTTATGTGTATGAAATAGTACTAACTATAAAGCTCACCTCCCAGTACTTCCAATACTTTGATTTCAGCTGGAGGGTGTGCATCAATACCTAAGAACTGTCAGCTCAGTTGTTTAAATATCGACGCTAGTGGATGTGTTATCTGCGCATGTCCTGCTGGTAAGATTCGTTAGTTTACATTTCATTATTTGTTTGTTTGTTGTTTAACGCACCTCTCGTCACTGTTGTCACCTTAATTGTGGAAAATACATGTAAATAGTGTTTAATCAATTTATCTCGATCCAATAAAATGTTGAGAATGCTGAATTGGTTACAGAATAAGCATTAAGTATTACACTGTTAAAATTGATTTCAAATTATTTTATTTTAGTTCTATATATAATGACAGATCACTCTGACTGCTTAAAATACCTAAGATCTCTTAAGAGTGTAGTGTATAAAGGGTCCATAAGCTGGGATTCTGTTTTTGTCTTTCGTTTTTGCCAGAAATTCTAAATTGTGAATTTTATTTCTTTGTTGTGTAAATTTCCATATTCTAATCGAAAAAAAAAATTATCATTAGGAATTGGCTTTGGAAGCACGTGTCCACCATATAACGCAGACGACTGTGATGACGTATGTAAGGTGACAGACACACATGGCTGTCCTATTTGCGACTGCTCACATCACTGTAAGTGCACAGATAGGCAGATCTTCTTTTTGCATCATACTCAACGTCACAATAAAAAAAAAAGAATGAACACTTTATGTCAAAATATGGCATCGACTGGAATTCTTAGTATTAATTTTTTAAAACAATATTTTCGTTATTTATCCACTTAGTGGGTTTTACTACCACCCCGCCCAGTCCAAACACAGGAGGGGTTCCGGGAGCCGGAGGGTGCCCTGCTTTTGACTTCAGTAAATGTGATCCCGCATGTGTATCTATGGATAATAATGGATGTTTGACCTGTACATGCTCAGGTAACCATATATTTCGAAGATTTTTGTCTGATTAAATAACTTTCTAAGATAGTACAGATAGTACATGTATTTGTCACAATGTTAAAACCAAATTCCGCGCAAGACGGCACATGTAAAGAATGATAATCTTAACGGATATTACAAAGTTAGTTAAAATTGTCTATCTTGCAGTCTTCTCGAGTTCTTCTGATAAACAAGAGGCCCAAGGGCCTTAACGGTCACCTGAGTATGATACAACAATTTAAAGGATGCATAGAGTATAATATGAACTGAAAGGTGAAACTTTGTTGCCAAAAAGCAAGAAAAATAGGGTGATCATGATCAACAAAATAATTGGTCTTCATATTCATTGACAGTTTATAAATTATGTTCTATAAATCTGATCCCCATTTATCACTATCACCATACAGTATATTAACAAATTATCAATGCTTCTGTACTATTTTAATCCTTTGTTGAAATTTCTTACATTGGCCTCTCTTGGTCCTTGATGAACATTTAATAAGACAAGTTATTTTTGTCTCATTTTTATTTATCTACTACTTACAAGTCTATCTGATCATTAAAACTATGAAAGTACTTTTTGTATTATACAATAAAAGTTTTTGCATAATTATCATACTCTATTTACCTTTCAAGTACATTATTTACAGTGATAAATTATCAAAAGTAAATGGCAAAGGGGAATAACTCCTCTCAGTAGAATACAAAATAATAGAGCCCTGGCCAGCACCAGAACACTTGACCAAATGGTCCAGATGTTCAAAAATCTGATAAAAATAATCTTCCTTATTAAAACTTTTACTCTTTTTGCCTCTGATATGCCCAGGTGCGGAGAAGATTTTTAAAGAAATAATGCATTTTTACTACAGATTCACTATATTATCAATAGACCCCCCCCCCCCCCATCACCAGAGCTTCTGACCCTGGGACCATAAGTTTGTTCATTATAACTAATCACTTTGTTTATCTGCTTAACACCAAGGAGCAAACAGGTTTATTTAATAGAATTAATGCATTTTTACTATATTATCAAGAGCCCCACCCTCACACCAGCACATCTGACCCAGGGGTCATGAAATTCACTACTCTGGAAGAAGCACTCTTGCTCATCATAACTATACACTTAGCTTCATTGCTTTTTTAACCAGAAGCAGAAATTTTCAAATAAATTTTACTTTTTCACTTTATAATCAATAGAAGCCTCCCCCTCACCAGAACCCTTAACTCTGGGGTCATAAAATTCACAATTTTGGAAGAGGCATCCTTGCCTATCATAACAATGTACTTAAATTGTTTAAACAATACCCAGGGGCAGAGAAGAAGATTTACAAAGAAATAATTCACCTTCACTACAGGATCTATATTGCCCCGCCCTAGCACCAGAACTCCTGTCCCCGGGGCCATGAATTTCACAATTTTGGAAGAGGCATCATTGCTTATCATAACAATGTACTTAGTTTGTTTGAATAATACCCAGGGGCAGAGAAAAAGATTTTTAAAGAATTAAAACATTTTCACATTAAATCAATAGAGCCCCGCTCTAACACCAGAACCCCTGATCCAGGAGCCACGAAATTCCCAATTTTGGAAGAGGCATCCTTGCTTATCAAAACTATGTATTTAATTTGTTTCAATAATACCCAGGAGCAGAGAAGTAGATTTTCAAAGAATTAAGGCATTTTCACTATAAAATCAATAGAGCCCCGCCCTAACACCAGAACCCCTGCCCCTGGGGCCATGAAATTCATAATTTTGAAAGAGGCACTCTTGCTCATTCTAACTATGTACTCAGTTACTTTATTTAATACCCAGGAGCAGAGAAGAAGACTTTCAATGAATTAATGCATTTTCACTATATAATCAATAGAGCCCCTCCCTAACACCAGAACCCCTGACCCTGGGGCCATGAAATTCAGAATTTTGGAAGAGGCACTTTTGCTTATCATAACTATGTACTTAGTTACTGTAGTTAATACCCAGGAGCAGAAGATTTTCAAAGAAATAATGCACTTTCACTATATAATCTATATAACCCCTCCCTAGCACCAGAACCCCTGACCCTGGGGCCATGAATTTCACAATTTTGGTAGAGGGGTCAATGCTTATTACAATCATGCCAACAGTTTGACTGCTTGATGTCCAGGAGTAAAGAAGAAGATTTTTAAAGATTGCATTAATTTTGGTGGTTTTAGCCCCACCCCTCAGGCCCCAGGGGGGCAGGGATCATGAAATTCATAATTTTTGTTCCCCTTCACCCATAGATGCTATATGCCAAATTTGGTTGAAATTGTTTGAGCGGTTTCAGAGAAGAAGCTAAAAATGTTCAAATGTTAACGCACATCGCACGACGCACGCCGACGGACAAAAACGGATAGCAATAGGTCACCTGAGTGACTCAGGTGACCTAAAAAAGTGATTGAATTTTTTGATGATATATTCTTATATATATTCTTATATATTTAAAAGTATTTTGGATAGAATAAGCATGAAATGAGAAGAAAAAATCGCGATTCTGTTTTCAAATGGTTTAGCCAGTCCGAGCCTTTGTCAGCTAGAATAAACTTTGTTTTGGAATGTAAATAGTTATTGTAGAAAGTTCCTAAACATTTGATTTTCTGGTTACGAGATAAATGTAGGTGAAAGAAGACATATTTTTACAGCAAGCACAGTGTCATCTGGCGGTCAAACCACAACACCTGGGTCTGTAACCAGTGTACCTGGAGCTGGAGGGTGCCCTCCCTTTGACTTCAGTACATGTGATCCCACATGTGTTGTTATGGATAGTCAAGGATGCATGTCTTGTCATTGTGCTGGTAAGAGCACATGTACTCTTTTCAAATACCAATAAAATACACAATTACTCTGTAGGGAAATAAACTTGTCGATCTAACAATTTAAGTTGCCTCTAGAATTTTACGCACCAGGGATAAACTGAAACAAGAATATTTATCAGTTCTTGTTTTACTGTTCCGAAGGAGAAAGGGAAAGATTTGCAACAATTGAAAGCAAAAATGATATTACATTGCAGCGACAACACAAGCGCCTTCTGGAGGACATTCGAATACCACCTCAGGAACGGTAACTAGTGTTCCTGGAGCTGGAGGTTGTCCTTCCTTTGACTTCAGTACTTGTGATCCCAAGTGTGTCGTCATGGATGGTCAAGGATGTTTATCCTGTAACTGTGCAGGTTGTTCATTTTTTTAACCACGTACTGTATTCAATGGACAAGAGGTAAAATTATTAACGAAATGATGAACTTAACTTTCTCTGAAAATTATCTACTGCCTACATTTACAAAGGCTAGGTCTATTTCGGTAACAAAACTTGCTTAAATGGTTCCCCGATCTTGTTGAATATGTGGTGTATTTATTAGTGACAATGGCGCCATCTGGAGGACAATCTAGTACAACAGGGACAGTAACTAGTGTTCCTGGTGCCGGCGGATGTCCTTCCTTTGATTTCAGTACATGTGATCCACATTGTGTTGTTATGGACGCTCAAGGCTGTATGACATGCCAATGTGCAGGTGAAGATTGGAGATCTAAGCGATCTTTGAAGATACTTTTCCTCTTAAGTGAAAGATAACTTGGGCAAAATGATAAAAATTGAAACATCTGTTAAAACTAAAAGAAAAAAAATACAATAAAAGATGTGCCAAATACCAAAAGGAAACACCTGGAACAATCATGGTAATGTTTACAAATATTTATAGTAACAACTGCAGTGCCATCTGGGGGTAATTCTAATAATACGTCAGGAACGGTAACCAGTGTACCTGGGGCTGGCGGTTGCCCATCGTTTGATTTCAGTACCTGTGACCCTAACTGCGTTGTAATGGATGGACAAGGTTGTCTTTCATGCCAGTGCAAGGGTTTGTATTGATTAGAAAAAGGAACTGTCAAAACAATGTGCACTTTCTTGTTTATTTCTCATGAGAGAAAAAAAAATTGTTCCTGTCATTTTAAACTCTTCCGTATTTGCGTCCATTGCAGCGACTACAGTTGTTCCTAGTAATAATTCTACGTCAGCAGTGACGTCAGTTCCAGGAGCGGGAGGTTGCCCTTCTTTTGATTTCAGTAAATGTGACCCAAATTGTGTTGTCATGAATGAGCAGGGCTGCATGACATGTCAATGCAAAGGTAAGATGTACAAAACTTCAACATTTGTGCGACCGATTTTTTCATAAGCATCAAATATTGGTTGTTGTCACTAACAGTTGAATTCAGGGTTCTACTTTAATAATTATTTTGACTACATTACTGCAGAAAAGATTAGGGATGCATCGCTTTCTGTCATGATTTGGTTATATTTTCTAAATATGAGTACAGGAACAATTGCTTGAAAATGTTTTACCTTTATTCATTTAGTAGATAGGTAGTAAACATATTTTGAAATTAAAAAAATTGTAAGAACATGATCCAATTTTGGATGGATATCCGCTGAGTGACCCCAATGAAATCCACCACTGATAGTGTAACATAAAGTATATATTACTGTTGTTAATGTCACTGTACTATATACCTATGATTTGCGTTGTATCAAGCAAACTTTTTGCATTACACTTGGAGACTCTTCAAAATTAGGAACAACAGCAGCACCCTCTGGGGGTCAATCAACAACAACAGGAGCTGTGACAAGCGTTCCCGGAGCTGGCGGATGTCCGTCTTTTGATTTCAGTACATGTGACCCCAACTGTGTAGTAATGGACGGACAAGGTTGTTTGTCCTGTCATTGTTCAGGTAAGAAACTTTTTTTTCTTAATCAGAATTATAAGTAAAACGAATTGTAAAGACTAGATAAATACAGCATTCCTTTTCATTGATAGCTTCAACTACAGTGCCACCTGTTACAACCAAATCGCAATCTGGGCATACTACTCAGCAGCCAGGAACGACAACTGCTGTCCCAGGCGCTGGTGGATGTCCTTCTTTTGACTTCAGCACATGCGATCCAAACTGTGTTGTCATGGATTCCCGTGGATGTCTCTCATGTTCTTGTGCTGGTAATGAATTATTTCTTTTCTTTGTGAAACCTATGGTCATAAGTATGTAAATGTATGTGAACTTATTAGCATACTTTTTTTCAAGTAACCACCACAGCCTCTTCAGGATCCAGCACAGCCTCAGTTACTTCAGTTCCTGGAGCAGGCGGGTGTCCCTCATTCGATTTCAGCAAATGTGATCCAAATTGTGTTGTCATGGACGCTCAGGGCTGCATGACCTGCTCTTGCTCAGGTATTTTATATTTAGGACACGTGAGGCAAAGACCAGGTGACATTTTCTAAATAGGAAATGTGTGTCTTTATGTATGTTTTCGCGTTTGTATCACTTTTCCTACAAATCGTATAATGCAACCCTAAATATTTAACAAATGCCGTACAAGGGACCCAAAAATTAGAAGAGATGATTAAATCTGGATCATGGAAAAGTAGCTTTCGGCTGAATCAGGGACTTATATATTACATGTATATGCTATATTCTATCTATATGCTATATGCAAACCAAATTACATAACTGCGTGCATGGAGGAATTCATTTGTCATATTTGGTGTAATAAAACGTATTACCAATTTTTGATCCAGATGAGCATTTAGGGTCATAAATCTCAACTAGATTTGCTTAAGTTACTAGTTTATTTAGACTTGACTATTAATCTTGATGACTTCTAGGGCTGTCACGGTTCCAAAATTTTTCGGGTCGGGTCGGTTCTGTAAATTTTCGGTTCGGTTCCGGGTTTTTCGGGTCGGGTATTTACATCTATTTTAAACCTTAATTTCATGAATTTAACTTGAAAAATCTTTATTTGTTACATTAAATTTACATTGAAAACAAGTCTTAACCATGCGAACGTCTAGACATCGGTGACTTGGCCTACTATTAGCCACAACCTGACCATTCCTGCTCGTTTTGATAATTATCTAATAGCGAGCGCAGCGAGCGGCGCTAAGCGCCGCTCGTCACTGCGAGCTCTAACGACAACGCCTGGGCGAAGAGAAAATTCGGACTACTGCACATTCATTCAATAGAATTTTTTTCCGCAGTAATTCTGACCCACAGTGCATCGCTTCTTGTTCTCGCTGCTAACTTCGTTCACGCGGTGACAACAACTAAAAATTCACACAAAATAAACTCACCTTAATTTAATGGATATTGCATGCAGATAGTAGATTAAACGTTCTTTGTTAAAATATTTGCACTTTTTAAACTTTGTTTATGGAAATGCAGCTAACATACGACGTCATGTGACATCACAGTCTAGACGTTCCAAATGTCTCGTGCGGTTTGAAGAGGCGGATCATAATAATGAAGTGAACACTGCGCTCGCCCCAACGGTCGCACCGTCAACATATTACTTCCGTGACAAGTGTTTTGTCATGGAATGAAGTAGATTTCAGTTGTGATGTTTATTTATCACTGTTATCGTCATCATTCCTTTGATTCCGTCGCCATTTTTTGTATTGAACAGACTCTAATATATAAACCAGACCCGAACCGAAATCCGGAAAAATGGAACCGGAACCGAACCGAACAACTTGGACCGCGGTGCTCGGTTATTTCGGGTACTCGTGACAGCCCTAATGACTTCAATGTCAGACTGGGAACGATAAATAAATATAAGTGCTTTATAAGGTAATATGGTCAGATTACCTTCATGTTGATATTCATAGTGACTGCTGTCCCTGCAAATGGTAAACAGACTAAAAGACCAACCATTTTTCAAACAACCTACACACCCCGGCCTACCACCACAACGACAACCACTCCCCGACCCACCACCAGTACAACTACACGAAGAGTCATAACTACGCATGCTCAAACAACCACTACCGGTGGAGTTACATGTCCTGCCATAAGATGTACTTATCCCTGCGATGCAGGAGTAACATTTAATGCTCAGGGTTGTCCTATTTGTAAATGTAGAACTTCTAGCACAAAGTCACCATGATTTGTTTGTATTTATATAATGAGAAAATACAATATAATGAGTAAATATACAGTGTTCCAACATTCATTGTGTGTATTATGACTTTTATTAGGTCACCTGAGTCACTCAGGTGACCTATTGCTATCCGTTCTCGTCCGTCGTCGTGTGTTAACATTTGAACATTTTTAGCTTCTTCTCTGAAACCGCTTAACCAATTTCAACCAAATTTGGCATATAGCATCTATGGGTGAAGGGGAACAAAAATTGTGAATTTCATGGTCCCTGCCCCCCTGGGGCCTGAGGGGTGGGGCTAAAACCACCAAAAATAATGCAATCTTTAAAAATCTTCTTCTTTACTCCAGGACATCAAACAGTCAAACTGTTGGCATCATTGTAACAAGCATTGAGCCCTCTACCAAAATTGTGAAATTCATGGCCCCAGGGTCAGGGGTTCTGGTGCTAGGGAGGGGTTATATAGATTATATAGTGAAAGTGCATTATTTCTTTGAAAATCTTCTGCTCCTGGGTATTAACTACAGTAACTAAGTACATAGTTATGAAGAGCAAGAGTGCCTCTTTCAAAATTGTGAAATTCATGGCCCCAGGGTCAGGGGTTCTGGTGTTAGGGCGGGGCTCTATTGATTATATAGTGAAAAATGCATTAATTCTTTGAAAATCTTCTTCTGTGCTCCTGGGTATTAGATAAAGTAACTAAGTACATAGTTATGAAGAGCAAGAGTGCCTCTTCCAAAATTGTGAAATTCATGGCCCCAGGGTCAGGGGTTCTGGTGTTAAGGCGGGGCTCTATTGACTATATAGTGAAAATGCATTAATTCTTTGAAAATCTTCTTCTCTGCTTCTGGGCATTAAGGTGATAAACTAAGTATATAGTTATGATGAGGAGGTGGGCCTCTTTCAGAATTTTGAATTTCATGGCCCCAGGGTCAGGGGTTCTGGTGTTAGGGCGGGGCTCTATTGACTATATAGTGAAAATGCATTAATTCTTTGAAAATCTTCTCCTCTACTCCTGGGCATTAAGGTGATAAACTAAGTACATAGTTATGATGAGGAGGTGGGCCTCTTCCAGAATTGTGAAAGCCATCGCCCCAGGGTCAGGGGTTCTGATGTTAGAGCAGGGCTCTATTGATTATATAGTGAAAATGCATTAATTCTTTGAAAATCTTCTTCTCTGCTCCTGGATATTATTTAAATAAACAAAGTGCATGGTTATGATGCATAAGGATGCCTTTTCAAAAATTGTGAATTTCATGGCCCCAGGGTCAGGGGTTCTGGTGTTAGGGCGGGGCTCTATTGATTAAAGAGTGAAAATGCATTGATTCTTTGAAAATCTTTTTCTCTGCTACTGGAGATTATTTAAACAAACTAAGTGCATGGTTTTGATGCATAAGGATGCCTTTTCAAAAATTGTGAATTTCATGGCCCCAGGGTCAGGGGTTCTGGTGTTAGGACGGGGCTCTATTGATTATACAGTGAAAATGCAATGATTCTTTGAAAATCTTCTTCTCTGCTACTGGAGATTATTTAAACAAACCAAGTACATGATTATGATAGGCAAGGATGCCTCTTCCAAATTTTCAAATATATGGCCTCAGTTTTTGGGGTTCTTGAGGAAGGGGGGGGGGCTCTATTGATTATATAGTGAAAAAGCATTAATTCTATTAATTAATCATTAATTAATCCTGTCTGCTCCTTAGCATTGAGCTGATAAATAAATTGCTTAGCTATGATGAAAATGGGAACTTCGAACAGAATTTTTAAATCTTGTGGTCCTAGGGTCAGGGGTTCTGGCATAATAAGGGGTGGGGGGGGGGGCTTTTGATAATATAGTGGAAAAGTGTTAATTCTTTGAAGTCCATAGTTATGATGATGAGGGTAACTCTTCCAAATTTGTAAATTTCTTGACCCTTGGTCTTGGGTTCTGGTGTTAGGGTAAGGCTTTGTTGAATCTGTAGTGAAAATGCATTGTACCTGTGAAATTCTTCTCTACTTCTGGGCATATTGGAAGAAAACTGAGTAAAAGTTTAAATGATATAAGTAAGCGTGTATCTACCAGATTTTTGAACATCTGGACCATTTGTCTAAGCATTCTAGTCCTGGGCAGGGCTCTATTAATTTGTATTCTACTGAGAGAAGTTATTCTCCTTTTCCATTCATCTTTGATAATTAATCACTGTAAATAATGTATTTGAAAGGTTAATAGAATAAGATAATTATGCAAGAATGTTTATCATATAATTCAAAAAGTATTTTCTTAGTTTTAATAATCAGGTAGACCTGTAAGTAATAGATAAATAAAAATGAGACAAAAATAACTTATCTTATTAAAAGTTCTTCAAAGACCATAAGAGAGGTCAATGCGAGAGGTCTTAATATGGGTTTTAAAATAGTACAGAAGCACTAATAGTTTGTTAATAGTCTGCATGGTGATAGTGTTAAGTGGGGGACAGATTAGAACTTAATTTATGAGTTGATATTGAATACTAGACTAATTATTTTGTTGATCCTGATCTTCCTACTTCTCTTGCTTTAGGGCAACAAAGCTTCATCTATCAGTGTATTTAACTTCTAAATTGTTGTATTATACTCAGGTGACCGTTAAGGCCCTTGGGCCTCTTGTATAATTATGTCATTGAACTAGAAGAAGTGGGAAAGGTAAATATCCTATTTATCTTAATAATTGTGTTTTTTTTTTAATTCCATCTAGTTCATAGTTCTTCTTTTATATCATCCCAAAGTTCCTTCAGTTCAGGATGCATTATTCTTGTAGCTCCAACATTAAAATCTTTCTTCACAGAGATTTCGAAGTCAAAATCGAGATATTCCCGCTTCTTGATGTCATAGGTCGGCCACCTCACAGGAGTTTCCTCAGAATTTGGATCTCTAGAACAAACGAAAAAGTGTCAAAATTAGATACTCGTACAACATATTACAGTCTTTCTATCAACTTTTTATAAATGTTAAAAGCTCTAGTGACATTAAAACAAAGTCCAAGAAACGTGTACTTCAACTGCAACAGCACGAACAGTTCTTTCAGAGTCATTTTTCTCTTGCATATAATATCGATAACGGATTTATTTATTTAAGACTTGGTTTTGTTCTTAAATTGAAGGAAGGGGTCAAGACATTGTGAACATTACATTTTGAAAGCTTTTTAGCAGTCGATAAGCATGCCAAAATAATTTGTCTTCTAATTATCTCCAAATATAGACAAAATGCGTTTTTTAAATTTTTTTTTTAAAATTAGGTAAGGTCTAAGATCAATGTCAGGAGCCAGGTTTAAGGTCAAACGTACTTAATATCAAAACCAAGCTTTTTATATGATTCAAATCTGTAGATAAAAAAATATTTTTCTTAAGGTTTGCCAGAGTAACAGTGTCTGTTACAAAACATAATGAAAGGTCTCTCAACAATGATTAAGTCAAAGTCGACAACTTAAAGATTCAAAAGATGTTACAGACGAACAGACAGACAGTCAGAGAGAAGCCTGGTAGAGTGACCCCCTGAAAATAGCTTTACTTTGCAGGTCACCAAAGCCTGCATTATACTTGCCCAGTTTTGGCGAAATTCGAGAAATAGCGGATAATCTTTTCACTGAGTCTGTTATGTCTTTCTTCTGTGTGATTGTAAACCGGAAGGACAGGCATGTCAAAAAGATGATACAGGTCGTCCGCGTGACCCGCTCCTCTAAACCATGGCGGAGGAGGCGGACCAAAGGGGAGGGGGCTTGTGGCAGACAAAATATAGTGGTAGGTTTTGTGATTGGCATTGTTTCTGGCATGCGCAATGAGAGCACTAGTTGCTGGAGCGACCATCACACTATCTCCGTAGAAGTCAGTGGCTCGATTACTTTGGTCATCGTCTCCTTTATCTGTTGTGTAAAACTCACATAGTTTCTTACTCAATTCCGGTTTGTTGCCAAACAACTCTTGCACTAGGCCGGGTATTATGACATTACAGAGGACGTGCCTGGGAATCCCTTTCTCGACAGAGAAATTATAAGTCTCTTGGAGTTCGGGCATAAGAGTGAAATACAACAGCGATCCTTCCGCACTTGTAGTTCCTGTCATAAAATCCAAAGACCGGAAGAACTGTCCTTCCGGAGAACTATCATCATGCATTGTAAAGTACAGCTTGCTCGTAATCAATTCATCGTCCATGCTTGGACCCATCAACATTTCTACTGTAAAGTTATCGGAAGCCATAAAATCATAAATATTGACAGCATGTAAAACTTCGCTAGCTGGAATTTTCTGGAGACAAGCGAAAAACTCAGCTTTGTTCTGTATTGGACAGCTCGTCTTTTCCGAAATTCTCTCGTTCATTTTATCGATGTCGGAATCTGCAGTGATGACCTGTCTGTTTACTACACCACTCATGGAAATAGCTCTTTGGAACATCCCAGTATTTGCCGGTATCAAAGTCTGAAAATGGACACTCATTCCTCCAGCCGATTCACCGAAAATAGTTACAGAATAAGGATTTCCTCCAAATGCTGCTATGTTCTCATGAACCCAACGGAATGCCATCATCTGATCCCAAAGTCCATAGTTCCCCTTAGATACAGGATCATGTAGATTCAAGAAGCCAAATAATCCCAGTCTGTAATTAATCGTTACCACAATGACGTCACCTTCCGCTGCTAGTCTCTGACCGTTTGTCTCACCAGCAAATCCTACTACAAATCCTCCCCCATGGACCCACACCATTACAGATAGACTCTGTTTTGGAGAAACTTCCCCCGGGACGTAAACATTCAGTTGAAGGCAGTCTTCGGAATATTCCGGGGTATAGTCTATGCCCAATCCAATATCTTGTTGCATGCACGCCGGTCCATGGAGATCAGGAATTCCTTGTACTTCCGTCCATCTTTCGACTGGCTGTGGCTTTCGGAACCTGAGATCTCCGACCGGGGGCTTCGCATAGGGGATTCTAATGAATCGATAGACTGAAAGATAATTTTTTACCAGCTCATGGTAACCTCTTACTGGACCGGAAGGTGTTTCTATGACAACTGATTTTGGTTCATTAGCATCACCTTTACCGTAAGCTGTCAGAATTGAGAGCAACAAGATGCAGAGGAGATCCATATCTGAAATTACAGAATTTCAGTTAAAATAATATTGTTTTTCGGCATTTTGACAGAATCATTTAAAGTGATTCGGACACTCCGATTTTTACATTAGCTAAAATAGACATTGAACCACAAACAAATTGTCGAAATATTCGATTACGTAATTGATAATAACTGTGTTTTTAGCTCTACTGGTTAGAGACCAGAAGAGCTTATGCGATAGTAAGGTGTCCGTCGTCCGTCTGTCTGTCTGTCTGTAAACAATTTTTCAAAACGCTACTCCTACACTTTTGGTCTGATTTCAATATAACTTGGCACATAAGTAGACTACACTAAGATACATAATTTTTGTGTATCTGATTTTGATTTCAATGAATGATGTTGCCATGGTTACTAAAAATAGAGATTTCTGGTAAATACTTTCAAAACGCTACTCCTCCTACAGTTTTGGTCTGCTATCAATATAACTTGGCACACAAGTAGACTATACTAAGATACATAATTCTGTATATCGGTTTTTGATTTCAGTGAACGGTGTTGTCATGGTGACTAAAAATAGCAATTTCTTTGAAATACTTTCAAAACGCTACTCATCCTACAGTTTTGGTCCGATTTCAGTATAGCTTGGCACACAAGTAGACTATAATAAGATACATAATTCTTTTTATCGTTTTTTTATTTCATTATACGGTGTTGCCATGGTTACTAAAAATAGAAATATCAGTGAAATACTTTCAAAATGCTACTCCTCCTGTAGTTTTGGTCCGATTTCAGTATAACCTGGCACAAAAGTAGACTAAACTAAGATACATAACTCTTTATACTAGTTTTTAATTTCGATGAACGGTGTTGCCATGGTTACTAAAAATAGAGATTTTTTGACATACATTCAAAATGCTACTCCTCCTACAGCTTTGGACTGATTTCAATATAACTTAATGGCACACAAGACTACACTTAGATACATAATTCTCTATACATGTACCAGTTTTGGATTTCGATGAACAGTGTTGGTTACTAAAAATGAAATTTCTGTGAAATACTTTCAAAAGGCTACTCCTCCTACACTTTTTGTCTGATTTCAGTATAACTTGGCACACAAGTAGACTACACTGAGATACATAATTGTGGTTATTGTTTTTTGATTTTGTTGAATGATGTCGCCATGGTTACTTAAATCCAAATTTCTGTAAAATTGTTTTAAAAGGCTACTCCTCCTTCAGTTTTAGTCTGATTGCAATAAATCTTGCCACAGAAAGAGACTAAACCAAGGATCATTATTCTCTTTATTGCTGTTGCAAAGTTTCAAGTCCAAGTGCTACTTTTATCTTTCTTTATAAGTACAACCAGTTGAGCTACAGTCTCGTCAGAGACTTCTGGTTTATTCAATTAATTGTAATTGCATGAGGAAATGCCCACTACAACGAAAACCAGTCCAGAAGCCCATTAGTCCGAAAAGTATAAAGTAATTCAAGTTAACTTATTCATTTCGACATTTCAATTCTTAAGGTCAGACGACCAATATTCCTCGAATATCTGTTTTGTATAACTTCATAATATGTAGACAAATATTAATTATTTCTATTATATTGTGATTTGTTAACTGTTTTCAAAATGTCCTAAGAAATTTATGAACCAAAAAATTGTGATATTGACAATTCAAGAGATTTCCAGTAGAGTTACATGTATACAGCAAACACCACCATCTGGTATCTAGCACAAATGCCTTGTACCTCAGTTTTTTGTTAGGAAAGTAAATAAAGTATCAATACTTCAATGACAAATTCTTAGGAAAAAATTGTATATAACTAAGGAACGTGTCGTTTGACCTTAAAACCATACTTTGATTCTCCAAGACGCTTTATATGTCCGCCAGTTAATATCCAATTTCAAATCCTTATTGTAAATTTAAACTTAATATATACGAAATCTTCTTGGGTTACACTCCTTTGAAAGAATGAAAAGTCATATTTTGGATTGCTCTCTGAATAACTCAGTCTATTTTTTTTTTTGGGGGGGGGGGTCACAGTCAATGTTCTAGTTGAAAGTGCAGACGCTATTCTATATTTTGGATAATTCTTTGTGAAATCAAAAAATTATTTGAAGCATAACTATGCATTTATACATGTATATCATTATACATGTACATAAAGTTTTGTGTATTAAACTATTAATACATAATAAACATAGCTATGGTAAAATAATATGAAATATAGCAATATACATGTACATTCCTAGTCAGCACTTTTACATATTCTCTCTCTCCCTCCCTCTCTCTCTGAAAAAAAAAACCAAACAAACAAAACTTCCCTCATTCTTTTTGGATATTTTTACATATGTATACATGCTTCCTCCGACATCTTAATTTCCGAAAATCAGAATAAAAGCATATAAAACTTTGGGTTCAGAGGTAGTACATTAATATAAAAGATTTCATTTTGTATATTGAAATATAACCGATTGATATTCGGTTTAGAGTACCAACTGGACTTGTGAGGATTATAGACTACTAGTACTGGACCGTAGCAACTTTTCCCTAAGAATTATAATTAACACGTGAAAGTTTTAAAGTACAAACAATATATCTGAAATGTAAATAAAAAAATTGCAGAATGTGGATTAATACATGCTGTGACAAAACTGCAGAATAATGATCTGAATAAGCATGTTTGATACGCATTCATGCATATACTACTAGCAGGTTAAGTCGGATGGGGGAAGGGGGTGATGATGTAATTTTATTTCCATAAAAAGGGAACCCGGGTCCCCAAATGCAATACCTCTCAATACTGGTCTACCTTTTCCCTTTCCTCAAATAAAACAGGTGTTTAAGAAAGCTTTGGCAATTTTTTACTAAAATTGATAAAGTTCTTAGTTATTCGTCCTTGCATTATTAAGTAGTACATATTGAAAATAAGGTACATGAAATAACTTAAATTTTTTACTTGGTTTGCATCTGATTCTCTTTTCTTATATGTTAAGCAATATAGTTGTGTCAAAAGATTTTATTATTAGTTAACGAGTTATAAAATCTCTTGGATCCGCCAACCAATTGCAGTATTCTGCAAATTGCTAAAATGGACATGTTCAGAAATCGATATAAATCTTACCTTGTATTCTCCAATCCTTAACGTCTACGTACGTCCAAAAGTGGCGAAAGAAAACTGTACTGTAGAATTTACAAATTCTCTTGTTTGCTCTCCATAGATGGATCGATTTAAAATCCTACACTTTTCCAGTTAAACACTTGTTTAACACCAAAGTTCAAACATACGGTGGAAACCATGATCTTCTATAAATAGAAAATGTAAAAAATCTTTTACACTTTACACGTAGATCCACCACAGTCAGTGTTATGAAGAGTACCACAATAACATTAGAATTGTCAGATCCCCGATTTTTAATTGACAGGAACAATAGACAATCAGTGTTAAAATAATTTCTGAATACTTTTATGTAACACAAAGCTGGATGTGTAATTTTGTAAAACTAAAACTTTTTTTAATTTAGAAGGGACACTATCAAGTTGGATTAAAAAAAAATATTTAGGTACCCGTAACGAGAAGAAAAGAGTCATAAATAAAATAGAATAGACAACAAAGAGAACAGAAACACAACGAAAACTTACTAACGATGACTTATCATGGCTTTACTGTTATTGAGAAGAAGATATTCAAAGATTTTCCCTTTATTTTTATGTAAAACTTTAATGGCCCATTTTGGCCCCACCCCACCCTACCGGCAGGATGGGGGTCATGATTTGAGCACATTTGAATCTACAATACCTGAGGATGTTTTCATATAAATATGACTAATCATGGCTTTGCTTTTATTTAGAAGCTTTTTCCTATAAATACATAAATGTAAAACTTTGATCGTCCATTCTGGTCTCACCTACACTCTGGGGTCACGAATTGAACAAACTTGTACCTATATAATTGAGAAAGCTTCTATGTAAATGACTAATCGTGGCTTTGCGGTTCTCGTGAAGAAGATTTTTTTTCTATGTACATGTATTCTCTCGAAAACTTTGATATTGCCCATTGTGGACCCAATGGGCAACGGGTCCTACCCCCAGGGGTCATGATTTGAACAAATTTGAATGTACACTACTTGAGGAAGCTTCCATATAAATATGACTTCTCCTGGCTTTTTAAGTTTTGGAGAAGAAGACTTTTAAAGATTTTTCCACTATATTCCAATGTAAAACTTTAATTTGATCACCCATTGTAAAATTTGAAGAAATTTGAAGCTTTCACATAAATTTCAACTATTCAGGACCAATGGTTCTTGAGATCAAGATTTTTTTTCATATATATTCCTGTAAAACTCGAACGCCTACTGTGGCCATATCCCACCCCTGGAGGTCATGTTCTGAACAGAATTGAATCTAAACTACCTTCAAATGCCTACACGTAAGTTTCATCTTTCTTTTCTGGGCCACTTGTTCTTGAAAAAAAAAAATTTTAAAAGAAATTTTTTTCACTAATTCTTGATTTCCCATAGATAGGGGCGTGGTCCTTCAATTGAACAAAGAATCCTCTTTACATAAGGATGCTTTGTGGCAATTTTAGTTGCAAGCAGTTCTTGAAAAGAAATCGAAAATGTGAAAAGTTTGCAGGCGGACAAAATGTGATCAGAAAAGCTCACTTAATCCTTCGGCTCGGGTCAGCTAAAAGACAATTGCCTTTCCCGCCAACTTCAGTTATGTAATATCTATAAAAGCGACTTCATTATTCCATAATTGACTTTTTTTTATATCTCTTATTAAATGTAATTGATAATCTTTGTGTGACCTGCTATCCACTATATGATCTGTCTCTACTCAGTATTCTCTGCTGGTAACGGGTTGGAAATAAAACATTTTGGTCGATTTTACCAGCGAATACTGAGTATCTAACTAAAGAAATTGACAAGTCATCTCAACATAAGTACAAATGAATTTATTCAGAAACAAAATGAACAATGAATGTATGTACAAAATGTGAGTTAGAATGACTATCCTATCCTATCTAGTGAATATCCTATCCTATTTTATGACTATCCTATCGAGTGAGGCTCTGACTCGCCGCTCACGTGATTTGCCACCAGTAACACTTTGTCTATTATATGGACGACCCCATTTGTTACTTTAATGTCTGCTTGAATCACTTTAGCATTTTCCACCATAACACCATCTGTAATGCAATCAATGAATAATTTTTCATTAAAAATGCAACATATCCTTTTCATGTGATATACAGTTTAACTTCGGTATCTCGAACACCGATACATGTATCTTGAATACCATGGGTATGTCGAAGTAATTTGAAAGTCCCAAACGCTTATTCCTTAAATATCTTACCCTGGATATCCCTAATCCTCGGATATCTCGAAGTATTTTCTTTGTCCCATCGAGTTCGAGATAACGAGATTTGACTGTATATATAATACAAGACTAGATGACGTTTACTCTTATATACCACAACACTACTTGACCATCCCAGTCGGGACGATCATACTTGGATAAATTTAGGGATAAATAAACTAGCTGGACTCTACACTAAGTATCAATGTGATTTTAAAGATGATTACGTAAAAATGACGTAAGATGTGTTTTACTCATTAAATTTTATGTCACGATAAGATTTTGTCACACTGTAAAGAAGTAATCTTACTGTTGTTCTTTTTAATGATGACGTCACTTCCCTGCACAGTACGAATCTTCATTCCGTCGGTCAGCCCCGCGCTGTAATAGGTACCCTGTATATAGTGGTACTGCAGCAAGGCTGTAACAAACAATATGCAATGTCAGCCCCACGCTATAATAGTTACCATGTACATAGTGGTACTGCAGCAAGGCTGTAACAAACAATATACAATGTCAGTCCCACGCTATAATAGTTACCATGTACATAGTGGTACTGCAGCAAGGCTGTAACAAACAATATGCAATGTCAGCCCCGCGCTATAATAGTTACCATGTACATGGTGGTACTGCAGTAAGGCTGTAACAAACAATATGCAATGAAAGCCCCACGCTATAATAGTTACCATGTACATAGTGGTACTGCAGCAAGGCTGTAACAAACAATATACAATGTCAGCCCCGCGCTATAATAGTTACCATGTACATGGTGGTACTGCAGCAAGGCTGTAACAAACAATATGCAATGTCAGCCCCATGCTATAATAGTTACCATGTACATGGTGGTACTGCAGCAAGGCTGTTACAAACAATATGCAATGTCAGCCCCACGCTATAATAGTTACCATGTACATGGTGGTACTGCAGTAAGGCTGTAACAAACAATATGCAATGTCAGCCCCACGCTATAATAGTTACCATGTACATGGTGGTACTGCAGTAAGGCTGTAACAAACAATATGCAATGTCAGCCCCACGCTATAATAGTTACCATGTACATGGTGGTACTGCAGTAAGGCTGTAGCATATATAATGTCGCCTCGGACTGTAATAAGTACCCTGTGCATAGTGGTACTGCAACAAGGCTGTTAAACACTGACAGCTCCGCGCTGAAGTAGTTACCCTGTACATTAGTATTAATACAGCAAGGCGAAAATTTTAACGATTAAGCGAAGCGATTTGATGAAGAAGTTGATTAACCTTTAATGTAGTATATAGTCTAGTTTTGATACAGGCAACTTGAAACAAACCATGCAGTAGGACACAAATTTTTAGAGTCTACGGAAAATATTAATGTGCATTTCAGCCATTGTTGTCAATTGCAAGCGCGTTGTCGTCATTTTTTACGAATACAAATTACGAATAATGATGAACCCCTTTCCGAAGTGCTGGCCATTTTCATAGTGTTAAATCCCCGTAGACTTTGAATTTGCTGTCGTGTCAATATAATAGTTGAACTCGAGGGTTCAAAGCAAAATTGGGGGAAAAAATGAAAGCCTAGGTATTTATTTATTTTGAGTTATAATGTTGGTACCGTGGGGCAGACTTTAGTAGGCGGGACTAAACTTTAGTTGTATACAATCCAAGGGCAACCTACTTCAAATCAGATCTATGTAAGGTTGCATCTTGCTCAGATTGATAATAATGCACTTCTGCATAACATGTACTCACTTCTGGAGGCTGCTAGTGTAAGAAACTCAGTGTTGAGGAATCCTGTGGGCAGGGCGTCAAAAGCAGCCTCTGTCGGCGCAAATACTGTGAAAGGTCCCCCTATAATTAAAAGTTGTACTCTAAATTTTCTATGGAAAACAATTAAAAGATGCATTTGTATCACACGAATAAAATAAAACTCAATGATTCCGAACACTTCCGTACCTTGAATGTCATATTGCAGATTTGATCTAATGAATGAATAGGTGAGCTGAGTTAAGTTCTGATTGGAAGCGCAGTACTGTAAAACACTCTCTTCCGGCAGTGGATACATGACGTCATCAATAAGATGAACTACACCGTTTGAAGCAATGTTATCGCGTGAGCTAATTCTACTACCGGTTGCTGTCATTACCTGCATTGACGTTCATCATAGTAGATAAATACATGTAAATTTAGAAAACAAATATATATATATATATATGTATTTCATTTTAAATTAAAAAAAAAAATTCTTTTTACCTGGCCATTTTGGTATACATTTATCCTTATTTTGTAACCATTGGCCCATGATCCAATTTCGATATCATTTCTAAAATTTTTCATTAATTGGCTCCCGGCGGTCACGTGGTACTTGATAACTTTGGTGAGTAAATCTTTGTCGTGAGATAGTTTTGACATGACGTCACTTGGAACTTTGGCAAAGGCATCATCAGTAGGAGCAAATATTGTAAATGGTCCTGTGAATTTGGTAATTAAGGTATAGTCACGTGATCAAATGATAACTAATTTCTGAATTACTCATTTTGCTTTATAGATAAAGTTTCGGGATTTTTCGCAGTAAAACTTCAATTTCTTTTTTGTTGCTTATTTTTTTTAAATTTCAAAAACATGAAAAAGGTTCCTAGGAATAAGTCATACCCAGAAGGTCTAAACTTCATTCTTAAGCATAATAAAACTACACTGTATTTTTCAGATCTAAGTTAAAAAGTTGAATTTTCTTATACGAAGCATGTTTTAATTATGAAAAGCATGTACTGTATTTTAAAATTTTAAAGTCTACTCGAACAAAATCTTCGTATCCCATAAACACCATTGTAAATTATTACCTTGTGTGCCTAATTCGTGAGACAGTCCAGCTTTGGCCACCAGAGACGCAAAGGTTCTGGCCTGAAGATCATGCGCCAGCTGAAGCACAGTTCTGGTTGAGGCCACACCGAGGAGACAGAGAAAGACGGACAACACCCTCATACTGTCTGATTACAGTAGAACACAGGAAGGCCATCTTTATAGCTTAGGAACTTCCCTTATCTCACGTGTGGTAGCACGCGGTACAGTGACATAACTTACTGGGAGTTACGAAAACAAATGGAGATGCATTGTTAAATTACTAAGGTAGTGACTGAAGAATTGATCTTTTTTTTAATATTTGACTGAGATTAAGAGAACAAATTTGGAAAATTGTAATTTTGGGCTATATCTAACGATTGAGGAGAAATAAACATTTTTTTCAAGGAGTTTATACACTAGAACATGTAGAAGTCTTGATTTTCCGGGTACAATTGTTGATGCACAATATGAATTTTGATACACTTAATTGCATTACTATGTTGAACAAGACATGTAGTAACTACACTCGTTAACAAGTCCTTAATATGCCTCAGCTATACTATCTGCATGGTACTTTAAGGAAGCTCTAAACACTGCACACTAAGGAGTTCTATTTGTTGGGTAGTTTTATTGAGTAAGAGTTATCTGCCCTTAGAAGAAAAAAATAGAATAAAGTTAATGACACAATTTGTTATGTCGATTGAATTAAAGTATTCTTAATGTTATGTAATACCAAGATTAAGTAATTGAATACATTATTTCCATTAATTTTCCCAGTGTAAGTAAACAACAGTGATTTCTGTTCACAAATAGTCTATTGTCTTTGAACATTTTTTTCTGCAGAAATAAGGCAGGTATACCCTATGTTGAAAATGAACTAAATACACTGAATATATATGTGCACCTTTATATGATATTTTTTTCAAAGCCCAAAAAGCATTTTTCATTAGTGATTAGAGCCTCCTTAAACAAGAATGTCCTTGTGACTTCATAGGTAAAAGTGAAATTAACGAATTCCTGCTATATAGAGAGGATCGACAGCTTCTGCTATACTAGTATATAGAGTGAAATACATGAGTGAGTATGCGAAGAACACCATGTGCAAAAATATATTCTGGTTTCAATAAAATTTCTTACAGATTTCATGCAACACATTTTAAAGACCTAATCGTTGGAAATTTTCCATGTGATGTCACGAACAATACAATATAAATACTGATAAATGTTCATCATGAAATCTACATTTTTTTTTCGTGTGATGCAATGATATGATATCAATACATCAAAATATAGGTCGAAATTAATGAGAATTTTCTGAGAAGGCCATTTTTCTGAGAAGGCATATTTTTGTTTAGATTGGGGAAATCAGGAAATCTCTCATTAAAATTATATTATAGATATTATATCTAAAATACGTCATTATAATATTATATATATAATACATATATAATATTTTCTTGCTGAGTTTTGACCGACAAATATCTCTGAAACCAGAAAATGATGGGTATCCAAAACTATCCATGCATTTAGGGAAAATGCATGTGTTACTGTAGTACATATTTGGATGTTTTGTTCCTTAAAAAAGTAATTTTATCAATCTAGGTATCGAAAAAGTGTTTAGCATGGTTGCAATGCATTGGTTTTCACAGACAAGTGTAACTGTATGAAGAAGAGTCGATTTTTTTTCAAAACATGCTTGTCCTTTTCTGAGAAGTAGATACATCTTTTGTAAAAAAAAAAAAAATAAATGCTTCGAAGGGTTGAAAAATATCAAAAATCACATTCACAAACATTAAAAGAAAGTTGAGGCAGAAAAAGAAGAATTTTGTATCAGTTAGATCAATGTTAAAGAGTTATAGTTCTTTGCTAAGGGATGCATATTCTTAAAAAAAGTTTAAACGGCAATTTTCAAGTAAAAGCTTGAGGGAGGGAGAAAATATTTTATAACCAGAACACTAATGGAAAACAAAAGGACCGTACGTGGACCTCAATGCTCACCTGAGTCACGATGACCCTGCTGTTCTTCAGGAGATTTTTAAAGAATTTTCTCCTTCTTCAAGGAAGCTGTAAACACTGCACACTAAAGAGGTCGAATTGCAAGGTAGATTTATGCAGTGTGATCTGCCCTTAGACTTACGTTAGAATAAACGTGAATCTACAGTTAATGAGACAATCCGTAATACACTAAAGATTCTTAGCATTATATCAGACAAAGATAAAGTAATAGAATACAGTATTTACATGTTGATTATACCAATGTAAGTAAACAACAGTGACTTTTGTTCACTAATACTCCATTGTCTTTGAACAATTTTCTTGAGAAAATCGTACCTTATCTTCAAAATGAATTAGATAAACTCGTTGTGTACACCTTTATATCAGGAAAATGTTCTCAAATTCCAAATAAAAGTTTTACCCTTGTTCTTAGAGCTTCCTTAATCACACGAAAAAATGGCCCCACCTTAGCCTAAAGGGCAGGCGCGTAGCCAGCATGGAAATGAAGTGTACGCAGAGAACGGAAGGGGGCTGGGGGGATATGTTAGTTTCAAATTTCACAAATCAAAATTTTACACTACCAAATTACCGTGATTTCACTATGCTACAACAAAAGGGGGGCACTCTTTCAATAAACATTTTAAATAGTAAAAAGTTAGGTTTGGAAAAATGGGGGGGGGGGGGCAGGGCACCCCCAGCTCCCTACCACCCCCTATACTAAGTGTCTGCTGCTGAGGGCCCAGAAGCTCCTGAGTTTCACTAAATATTTCATTCATTTTCTTGCAAAATAAAAATCATTCCATTTAAGCATTTAGGTTTTGTTTAGAAAATAAAAGACATTATATTGTTTTAACGCAAAGTTAATACTTCCATGGAAACTTACTGTACAGATAGTGTAGGCTAAATATTTAACTGATATATTGGTATCATATCTCTTTTTAAAGTTCAAAAACAAGTATACTAAATGTTAATTATTATAACAAAAAATATCGTATTTTAAATCATAAACTAGTAGATAATAGCATTCAACGATGTGTTTGAAATTTAATTTCTCAAAGATCTTTAAAAAAAATTTCAATGTATTAAAGAACGATTACAAATTATTGAATGATTTATTTGGATTTGGCAATGATTTAATAATGAATTTCAATTTTTTTTTTTTTTTTTTTTTTTTTTTTTGCATAGTCGTGATAATATAAAATTCAAATCGAAACAGTATGGCACAAAATAATTCGAATATTTGTGGAATGGTACTGATATATTTTCTTTGAATAACCCCTCTCTCTCCTAGATTTTTTTTTTTTGGAAAATGATGTGTACGCACTTGCGTATTTGCGTATAGGCAGCTACGCCACTGCTAAAGGGGTTACGACATAATTTGAATAGGGTTGCTTCAATGTATATCAACATAATTTGAATATAGGGTTGCTTCAATGTATATCAACATATCGACATAATTTGAATAGGGTTGCTTCAATGTTTGTCCGCTGTCTGTGCTACTTAAGGATGCTTGATTATTAGGCTATGACTAATCATGGTAATGTTGTCCTTGACAAAGATTTTTCACATGTGCATTTCTTGTGACAAGACCTTCCTTTGTATACCAACAACTTTGACCCTTTGATCTTGACCTAAGAGTTTGACCTACTTTTTGAAAACTTTAACCTTGGACATAACATTTGAACGGTTGGTACTAGGGCTTTCATATTTCACAGGGTGTATTTCTTGTGAGAAGGCCTTTTCAATGATTACTGCTAGGGCTTTGATATTTCACAGGTATATACCTCGAGACAAGATCTTACTTTGGGTACCAACATATTTGATTTGCAATTCAGAAAGTTTGACCTTTGCTATAAGTTGCCATACAGGGGCATCAGTGTTTCACAAACACATCTTGTTCACACAAGATTTGGCACTCTTGCAAAATCAGCATTACCGGAATTTTTTCTTTTCAAGCAATCACTGTCATGGTGGAAATGGTTTCCTTAGTCGTTTATTTCCAAAGTACAGTCCTGGCATCAGTTTCTTGATACCAAAAAGTTCTGAAGATATTTTCCTACTAAAGATATCACTTTACTTGATTCTGAAATTCTTTTAAACGCCTTCACTAACCTCGGAAAGTGAAGAAGAATGATTTTGTTTTATACAGGTAAAAATGAGGATCGTGGATCGGCAAGGCTGATGAAGGCAATTTAAATAATTTCTTAGGAAAAGAAATTGAGAAGTTGAAATGTTTGATATGAGATCATAGGTGTCGGAAGCAAATCGAAAAGGGGGGGGGGTAAACCAACAAAAAATAAACATTTGTGGACTAAGCCCCAATTTTCAATGCCTATATTATGTCTATTTTTGCAAAAAAAGTAGGGGGCTAAGCCCCCCCCCCTCCCCGATTATAATAATAACTCACAAAGTATAGTGGACGTTTTGCATGGTAAGCTCTATGTGATGCTCTAGAAACTATATATACTGAAAGGAAAAAAGAAACGCAGGGTAAACTTTTGAAGTGGTTTTATGCAATTTTTCAAACGCATTTTCCAGTATTGTAATCTAACAGTTAGACTCATCTTTAGTCAATAAGTAACCAAAATCTCATTTGATTTTGACTGATAATTCATTCATCTGAGTTATTGAATGAAATATGGAGATAACGAACGGTATTCAAGCTCAAAGTCCATTTAAACGATACAAATCGGGAGCAGAGCAAACACGGACTTCCAAAATCATCAGAAGTGGGATCAGGTCCCACCCACCGTGTGCTCCTTGTCATGATCGGGAAATAACGGAAAAAATCCGTCGACAATTCAGTGTGTAAATAATGGCCTAACAATTAGTATGAAAAACGTCAGTCAGCATATGACTTAATGATAGATTGTATTTGCTGACAAGGTCATTGTATCGACCATAGAACTTACGAAATGATGATTTTGAAAGAGACTGTTGATATCCTTGTTTCATCAGCTTGTTTGTCAATAACTTACCTCGTTTTAGAAACTGTACATATGTAGAGCATGCTCTTGCGTATCGAATCAACTAAGAGATATACACCCCATATGCAGGTGATAAGGGTATATTGCTGCATAAGTAAGGAATGTTGACGATTGAAAAGTTAAAGTCATCACATTTATCATAAAGCTTTAACGTTAGAT